TGTAGGTAAAAAAAAGTCAACTTCTCGGTACACTCCGATTCGAGAGGTACTCTGCATAAACTTTTCTTTCTAAAGAACATAGATATTTCTTTGGTATTCTATCTCTATCCGGTTCGATTATGATGTTTCTTGTCTCTGAAAGCAATAAATTTTTCTGTATTTTGTGTGTTTTATATTTCGCTTCGAACATGATTTTAAGTACTTAGGTACATACAACATACAATTATACACATTGGCATCGGTTAATCCGCTTGCGTTCGGTATGCATACACTCTGCGTATCAATGTGTCGTTGTCATCAAACAGTACACACACATAACATCTCCGAGTTAACGACGAAAAAATAAGCAAAATGAAGAGAAAAAAAGCGATGAGATGAAAAAAACCATCAAATTGAAGTAAAAAGAAGAAGAAAGTAGCGAAAAAAATCGAAAAACCGTGTGTACATATAAACACACTCGTACAGTTGCAAACAAAACGAAAAAAAAGAGAGACGCGCTAGAGAAGACTATAGACAAAACGTTTGCACATTTAATACACATAAATATATCGGTATCATTTGAGTGGGTCTCTTGCTCTCGCTTTGTATGTGTGTGTGTTTTTGGTTTTGTGTATTGCCAGCGCTATATATTCCATTCGGCTCACAATCACATATTCACACAAATACACTCTCTCATTTACACTCGCACCTATATAGCAACAGAGACAGCATTGTAAGTATAGTAGCAATAGCGGTCGCACCGCACCGTTCACAGCATAACGTAAATATATACACACACACACTTACATAAATGTATGTTCTTCAAAAACAGCATTTGAAATACAGAACGTTGCTACAATTATTTTTATTATTTCATCGGTTTTTATTTCTGTATGTTGTCTCTGTTTTTCTCTTTGTGATGTTTGTCGCACTCATCAATGGCGACCACTTCTTCATTTTACTTCTTCGGCATATGAGTGAACAGAAAAGAAAAAGAGATCTATTTGCGAACACTAAAATGCGCTTTCTATGGCTCATTCTTTCACATAATATGCAAAAAGCATATAAATTTTTTGTTGCTCTCATTCGTAGCACACGGCCAAACGAAAACCGAAACAAAATGTAAAGAAAAGAAATAAAACTACACACAGAAATTACATGCAATGCGTATTAAAATGTATAGAATTATCGTAAATGCGAGCATATATTAAAAAAGATACACAGCAAAGTAAAGATAGAAAGAAAAAAAATGAAATAAAACTGCCATATACACATCGATATTTGGTGTGTGGAAATTTACGGCAAATGCAGAAGTGAGCGAACAAAAAGAAGCAGTTGTGAGAACGAGAGAAGAAGAAAAAAATTGTAAATTCTTCGAATTGTGTAAGGTATAGTTTACTTACATAAAATTGTAAACCATTTTGTATTTGGCCCCGCTGTCGGTCGATTGCCACAGTTTGTTCAAATGCAACCAACAGCACAATTTAATAATATCAATTTGTTAATTTCTGCATCGTCTATCTCACTCCATCTGCCAACGATTCACATATCGTTTACGATGATTCATATCAATGTCGATTGATTTATGTACGATAGTTTCTTTTTTGTCCTGTGTGTTCACTTGAAATTCTATTATTAAAATTAACCAGCTCAGCGATTAAATGCTGTGTAACGAAACAGTATATATACATTTGTGGCGACGATTCATTTCAATACCAAATTTTTTTTTTATATTCGTTCATTCGTATGTTCGGTCGGTCGTTCGTTTGTTGTATCGCACTCACTGTTTCTCTCTCGGTACAACACTCGCAATCAAGCAACAACAAAAAAGACGAATTTTCGGCATTTGGAAACACAGAGAACAACAAAATCAATAAGCAAAATGCTAGCGAAAAAATTAATTGAAAAAGATTTCCTTCTCAATTCGCCTTCAAATGTGTCGCCCAATTTTTTCTCTCGCTCTCTCTTTTCTCATTCCCTTCAATGTTGTCGTTTTCGTTATTCATTTATATACTTATCCAATCATACATATATTCTTTTTTTCTTCTCCCGTTGAAATTTCGTCGTGCGCCAATGGTTGAATAATTTTCATAGTAATTTTGATGTTTTGCGCGTTCACTCTCAATCGACCGAGCGTATTTTGTACTTTGTCTCTTGATGAAATACCCATATCGAACATACCGTACGTACGAAAACAGTGTATACATATCGAATCAAGCCGAAATGAAAATGGCGATTTAAATCGAATATGGTTCTTTTTTTGTTGTTGGTGGTGCTGCTGTTGTTGCCGTTGGTGGTGCTGCTGCTTTTGCTGTTTCTTGTTATTGTTGTTGGTATTTCTCCATGCACATGTATCATTTGCAGTTCGCATCGGGAAATGGAGAAGTTACGCGAAATCGAAACGGCAAACAGCAGCACAGCATTAAAACATTCAACTAACCAACCGAACGTCCATCCATCCATGCAGTCCGCAGCATTTGTATTGTGTATACGATGTTTCTTATTTGTCATGCGGAGAGAAAAATTATGTGTGCAAGGTGAATTCATGTTAAAATTGTATGTACGGAATGTGTGAGCTCACAGGACCCAAGAAGGAAAAAAAAAAACCAACAAAGATACAACAACAATAACAACGGCACAAGCATACACACCAAACTCTCTTTCTCCTCGTACGTACGGTTATATGTTTGTGAAGAAGCATTGATATCTCGATTCGATGCTCATGCTAAACATACCAACTTACACCTAGTTGAATGTTGAAAAAGAGGGAGGAAAAATTCAAATTTCACACAACCAACGACATCGTGTGTCGTTTAGACGCTGCTTACACTCTCTTTCGACATTCGAAACGCGGCTGTGGTTGCCTGACACTTGGATGGATTATGTCTTGTTGTTGTTGTTTTTGCCTTCTTGTCTTATGCTCTTGTACTCTCTCTCTCTCCTCTCTTCGTTCGTTTTATCCTTTTTTATGAACGACGTTGATACATTTGTCGCTTGATGTTTGTATATTATTTGGTTTTAACGCGAACTCCAAAAAAAATATTTTTCTGTTTTCGGGCTCAATGATACACATCATTTGCTCGTTCTGTATACTGTTGTATGCGTGCGGCAAATCGAACGAAAGACGAAACAATACTTCATGTTTCTTCCTCTTCTTCTTTTTCCGTATTCGTATTTTTCGTTTACTTTGCCTTTCATTTATCCACTTCAAAATATGCTTGTTATTTTTGTATTTCATCGTCATAATCAACATAAGCATTATTTTTTTTTTAAAACAAAATCTAGGAATAAAACCCAAATGGATTTGTTTTATCAAGAAATGGAGAAGAAGCAAAGAAAAAAAACACACAAAAATGTCAAGCACCGAAATGCCGTATAATGAATTTACAGATATGTGTAATTTTTTTTCTCTGTAATTTGACTTCATGAAGCGAGCGGAAAAAAATCGATAATCCAAAAGCAAATCACTCGCATACAACCTTTACATCACATTTAAAGTAAATATACGTCGGTTCTAAATGTGTTCTCTTATTCGTCGTATGCTCGACACGAAGACAAAAGACATGGATGCATTCCGCGCGTATATATTGACTGCCTTTCTTTTTCCCTCTCACTGTATAAACACTCACAAACATGCACACACACACACATCGTTTGATTTTTATTGCCCGATGTTCGCATACGAAATTAATTTTTATTTTGTTGAAAGCAGCCTGGAATGAATTTGTCGCCGTTTTTCGTTCTGCTTTCGTCAATACTTTTCAAACGATTTTTATTATATTTCAATTTTTTCGAAGCCATTCATTTTTGCTGAGCTCGACAATCAGATGTCGATTTCGAAAATTGATTCGAACACAATAAAATAAACATTCTCTTTCTATTTACTTTTTTCAATTGTCATTTCTCTCTCTCTCTCTCTCTCTATCCTATATTTCAATATTTTTGGTATTCATTAAATTCACTTTTTAAAATGTAACAAAAATAATATAATATAATTGCTGAAGTCATGGCAATTGTTTGTTTATCGAATACTTTGCCCTCAATTGAAATCGTATCGTTTGGTCGAATATACGAACAATTTTATATCACAGGCGAAGAAACATGTTCAAAATTAGATGCGAAAAGATAATACCCACTGAAAATGAGAATTTATTCTGTGTCTCCATAAAATGTTGTTATGTATGTATCATTTACCTCGCGAACATTTGTTTTATATTCATCATCATAAATTACGGACGCGCGCGAGCGATATCGATTTTTATTAGTATGTCGCCATTATTAGTTTTTTTTTTGCTCTCTCGCACTCTCGAATATTATGAAATTTTGTGATGATCAATTGATTGGTGGGGAGATTTGCTATTGACTGTATGATTAGTGTCATTACTTAAACAACAGCAATAAACTCTATCCATGACTGCATTATTGAATACTTTAAATAGTTTTTCGTTTGTTGAAATTGTGGCATTTGAAACGCAATCATTTACATTTTCATATTAACAATTGACGATACAAATGGGTTTCCGAACATATTCATTATGTATCATAACACCTTTAAGCGTATGAATTTTGACAAAAAAAAAACACGAAATTAAAAAGGTGTTTCATTTGGAGTTTACTTTATATATGATACATATTGTAATTAAAAGTAATGTAATATAACAAATATGCGAAAGAAGGAAACAATAGAAAACAATAATCGGACTGGAAATTCATGTTAAATGCTGGGCAATTCTTAAGGGGTATGGCTATACGTTTTATGTTGTTATTTGATATTCATAAGCGTAGAGCTTTTCCCCTTTGGCGTTGCTGTAAATTCATCATACACACCAAAGAAAAGAGAATACAGTCCGATTTTAAATGCACATACGACACAATAAAACACATGTCTTCCAAATGAAATATTCGTTGACGCAAAACTACTAGCTATAAAATATTAAATTCACTGTAACACAAAAGACCCATTTATAATGTTCTAAAATCGATATATTCATTTTTCCATTCTCTCTCTCTCTTTCTTCCAGATGAAACAACATGGAGACCTGTATTATGACATCAATTAAACCGATCGAATTTGTGATTTTAGAACACTAATAAGGCGCCAACAGCGACTAAAAAATGATATGAAAATGAAGTCGCTGTTTCTCGTTGAATGACCAACAAATATTGAAACTCAATCACATACACACTATACAGCACTTACACGTGTTTGTTCAACGCAGAAAGAAGATAAACGAATTTTTTTTTCGAGTGAATTAAAAAGTTCAAACGAAACGATATTGGTTCAAATCGGTTTCAATTCTAAATGAAACGTACGACCATACAGCGCGTCACATCTCATTTGATCAAGACGTGTGAAAGTGTTTGTAAGGCAACACATACAAAGAAATATATATAGAGAAAACGAATAGTTCGCGTGTTTTAGTACATTTAGTTTAAGCAGCTACAAATTATTGCTTTTTTTTTGTAACAATCAAACAAAGAATACAAACACACCTAAACTAGCAATTGAAGGCAAAAACGAATCGAAAATTGATTTAAAAAAAAGTGCATTAAAAAGTATGCGTCATATAACACAGCGCTAAGGTCGATTTAGAGTTTAATGGAAATTAAATTAAATTATTTATTGTGGCAGGTACGTGTACTTTTAACAATAGTCAACTATCATATAATGTGCCGCCCATTCAACTGAAAACGAATTTTTATTGATTGATATTTTTGTTATTTTTCTTTTTATTTGCATACAGACACACTTTACGTTAGTGAAAACGATAACGGAAACAAACATATTTATTTGTACCGACTTTTAGCTAAATGGATGGAAATGCTCAGAATATGTATCACGGAAACCATCAAGGGTAAGTTTTATCAATTTGTTTTTCGAAGAAAGAAGAAATTCTTCATTCAGCAAGAGAGTGAAATTACTTTCCGTAATTTTCGCAAATATTTTTGAAATTCCAATTTAAATTTGAATAATTTTTGAACTAGATATGGATATGGTTCATATGCCCGACATCGGAGCCCCCATCCGATGCAACAGCAGGCACAACCACCCCAGCAACAAGCACAGTATCCTGCATACCAAACTCCTACCGATGGCATGTACGGAATGGCCGATCAACATGCAGTCATGGGTGGTATGGGTGACTTAAATGCCTGGAATAATACACAGCCAACACCATATCCCGGTTATAGTCATAGTCATGCAAATGTTTCACAACCGCCGAGACAAACGCAGGCCCAAGCACCAACGGCATATCGGCAACATATGTCATACCAACAGGATCCACAGAAAATGCAATATCCATCGCAACAAGGCATGATGAGCGGCATGATTCAGCAGCAAAGCTATCCGAATCAACAGGCACAACAGCGTGTACCTCAGCAGCATTATGGACAAAGTGCGCATCCAATGTATACAAATCCCCCACAAACAACACAAAATACACAAGGATATGCAAACTATGGTCCAACTGCAGCGATACCTCATCAAACGGCACGATCAGCGCAACACGTTGGTTATGGCCACACACAAATGGACCAAACAGCCTATCAACACTATCAGGTGAGAACGATAAACCAATTGCCACCTTAAAACGTCACACATTTTAGCGTGATAATTAAAATACATCATTCACACCTTGTTTATCATTATCATCAATTTTCAAAGTCTCATAGTCAAAGATCAATGCTGTTTTGTAATGAGTTTGCTTTTAATAAAAAATCCATCGATAAAATACGTTTGAATGAAATTCCCATTCAGCAAAAGAGTCCACATACATTACAATACACTCGAGTGACTCTTGAAATAATGTGAATTGATTCGAATGATATAAAATCAAAATAGATTTTTTAAAAATTTATTTAAATTTAAATGATCCTTTTCAGCAGCCACAAGGACAAATGCCTAGCCAACAGAATCACTTGAATCCAAGTCACATATCATCAATGCCTACACAACAACAGCAACAGCAGCAACAACAACAACAGCAAGTGAGTTGAAATTCATAATAGTAGTTATGTTTCGTTTACAAATTTGCTTTTATGTTGTCATTTCAATTTTCTTTCATAATATTGGTATTTCGGTTGTCATTAAAATTCCAAATATACCCGCTTGCAATAAAAATAATAAATTAAACTGAATACGTTTTTTTATGATCTATTTTAGTCACAGGTGCACGTGCCGATGCCTCAAGCAAATCAGCCGACGAATCAACAAAGTTTAACGCCGATGCAACAGCAACAAGCGCCCACACAACAGCCACAACAAAGTGCGCATCCTGGTTATTCGGGCATGTTCTTCGATGACGTTACTGCAATGAGCCATCATACGGCACCAAAAGAAACGGTCAAATCAACCGTTAAAGATAGTCAGCATAATGTGGTGGTTGGTAATACCGGCGCAATGCAAATGCCACATCCTCATCCGTATGCCGTTCCACAACAGCATACACAACAAACTGCCCCAACGCAACCAACGTACAAACAACCACAGGCAGCAAGTAGTCAAAGTAAGTCAAGTTTTAAATACATCTTCCACAAAAACACATACAATATACAGACAAAAAGTTTGCGTTTCTCTTGAAATAAATTTTAACAATGCAAAAGTAGAAGAGAGAGATAGAAAAAAACTGAGAAGTTAAGTCAAGTAAAAGTCACTTGGAAATCATAGACTATAATTGCTTGATGGTTATGGTTACTCTATCAATGGAATGTATCTATATAGTTTGTTTGATTCACTTTTAAACAGCGGCGAAAACTTTTTGAAAGTTTGCCAAAAGGACGCTCATTTTTTTCATGCACTTCTAATAATTTGTCACATAAAAAACAAATGTATTTCGCTCGGTACACTTTTGCTTTGTATAAGTGCAAAAATAAACTTAGGACAAAAACAAATAAATCATTTAAAATACATATTGCGCACAATTTAAATAAACGATTGCCGATTTTTCTTCTTTTTTTCTTCACCTCTCTGCGCTTTAGTTCCATCGAATTCACAGTATCGAGCGCCATTCCCGCAAGTTTCGCCACAAATGTCGCCGAGATCTCATCAGATATCGCCACATCCACAAATCTCACCCAGATCGGGTGTTATGTCGCCGGCGAAACCGATGCAATCACAAAATGTATCGAATAATCCATTGTCACCGCATGGTCATTTGCCGGGCAGCGGGCCAAGTCCACAGCCCCGACAAATGCAACAGCAAGCATCAAAGAATGCAGCTGCAACACAACAATCCGCATCAGTATCAACATTACAAGCTCTTGAGCAAATGGTAATGCCACCATCGGTTGCGCCCGTACCGGTTATGCAAAATACAAACATGGATTATGCAGCATCATATCGTCCATCGGCACAACAAATGCAACATACGGCCGCTGCAAATCCATTGTCACCGTTAACATCAATATCAACATCGCCACAACATCATCAACAATGGCCGACAATGAATCGAAGTGCGATGAGCAGTTTGAATCAACAAACCGCGCAAATGAACATGATGCCACAACAACAAATGCCGAATGTTTCGCAAATGAATGAATTGAGCGCAATGACCTCGAATCGAGGACAAGCACAACAAATCAGTGCACCACAAAGTCGAATGATGAGTGGCATGGGTCAAAATGACACCACATTAACACAAATGGATCACTTTGTGCAACCCCCAAGCATTGCAACCAGCATCGATCCAATGAATAGCACGCAAAGGTAAATATCGATTGTCCGATGGTTTTTCACAACAATTAAAATAATAACAATTAAAAATCCAGAAAATTATAGCGTGGAAATAATTGCCATTTTCATTTGATTAACTTAAATTATGACTCACGCTCAATAGTAGACTATGCAAATGTATTATATTTTTTCTATCCAATATTTTTTTTTTTTTAATAAACGTTATGTTTGTGGCGATTTTGCTTTTCTCTTCCCCCCTCATTCAGTTTGCCAAGCATGAATTCCACGTCTTCCGTGATCAGTGCAAGCTCGAGTTTACTCGATCCGTTTGCAAGTGTTGTTGACCCAATTCCACCAGTGATTGTAACACCCGTACTTTCACACATGCAATCAAGTGTTGATACAATGCAAACTACCGAATCTCATGCACCTCTGATGGACAAATCAATGCCATTATCGAATAGTATGGGTGACAACTCGAATAATGCCACTTCACAATTGAGTATGCAATCATCGCAACAGCAGCAGCAGCAGCAGCAGCAACAACAACAACAACAAATGTCAACAATTATGGCAGAGCCAGAGCCACAAAAGGATACAACGGTTCAAGAACAAAATGATACACATTTACCACGAATTTCAGAGGCATTCGATACGCCATTGATGAATATCGGTGCTGATCCAATCAAAGCAATGGAAACGGATATTTCCGTCGATCCAACAACGGTGGTGAATCGTTTGGAAGAGACAGCACTTCCAAAATCTGATGATAGCCATAGCCAAGAGGCAATCATAGCCAATTTTGAAACGAGCAAACAATCAATGATGAGCAACGATTCAGCACAAGGTGAATTGACGAACAACGGTTTAACGGAAACGATGTCACAAAATGATAATGCATTACAACAAGCACCTGACGTCGAAAAATCACAAATTACCGATGCAATGGCCGTATTTTCGAATAATTCAAATACAAGTCTACCGATTGAAGGTGTCATTGGACAAGATTCACAATCACAATCAATGGCATTCGATCAATCATCGAATCATTCGCAATATTCATTGCCACCGGGCAATGGTCAAACTGTATTGAGTGATCCACAACAACAGCAGCAGCAACAAATGCAAAATCCAAATGCCGGTTATGTTCCACATCCAGGAATGATGCAACATGCCTATCCACTGCCAATGAGCCATCATACCGAAAAACAAATGCTACAACAACAACTATCGGAATTGTATTGCATTCCACCAACGCCCGAAATTCATGAGAAAATCAAGCGTCTTGATGATCGCCTCAAATTGTTACAACAACACGAAACAAATGAACAATGTTTGGGTGGGCCACAATGTGTTTTATTAAATCCAATGATGACACCGCCAATGATTGAAAGTCCACAAGTGTCAAGTACAACGGGACGTGGCCGAAGTCGAGGCGGATCAAGTAAACCGCGTAAACCACGACAAAAGAAATCGGATAAACAACAATCGCCTGGCGATGGCAATGTTGATTCGGTCGATATAAATTCAACGATTAAATCAACGGATCAATTGCCAGTATCAGAAGACTGTGTAACACAAGGAGCTGGATTGGCAGCCGATGATATTATTAACGAAATGACTGATGCACATGAGGAAGGTTCACAAGATGGCACTAACGAATTGGATACATCGACAACGGTCGATGGTAAAAAACCGAAAAAAAGTAAATCACGCTCACGAAAAGATTCAAAAGAGCCGAAAGAACGAAAGAAAAAGGATCCAAGTGAGCCAAAGAAAAAATCACGAAGCAAACGTGACAAAGGCGAACAAGATGAACAAACCGATCAAACGGATGTCAATGTTCCGAATATCGAAGCGGGCGAATTGAATCCAAATCAAACGTTGGACGATACAAATGATGAAAATGCGGCGAAAGAAACGTCACTGAACGATGAATCTCCAGATTTTGATGATATTCCAGTGTCAAAAATATCGGTGAAAAGTTTGCAAGAGGAAGCTGCCAAAAAAGATGGCGAAGTTGAAAGTGAACAAACTGACATTGAATCATCGACGCCAAAGAGTAAACGGCGTTCAAGCGGTGGTAATCGGTCGGGTGGCGGCCGAAGTAGAAAGAAAAGTTCGGTTAGTCGTAGTGGTAAAAAACCGGCTCGAAGTCGAGCACGAGTTATTGTTGAATCGGATGGCGAAGGTGATGACTTGGTTACAACACCACCGCCATCACCACCACCAGATGCCGAATTGGACAGTTCAAAGAGACGATCAGCACGAAACACTCAACGTAAAAAGTACATTGATGATGTTATGCTTAGCATTTCCGACGATGAATCGGACATCATTTCGCCGACCAAAAATAAAGAAAAGAAATCAAGTGTCGACAAAACAGCAGAAGGAACTGATGCTAGTGATGGAACAACAATTGCTGAAATCAAAGAAGGTGCAGGTAAAATCAATTTTCTATTTCTTTTTTTTTCTCATTTAATTAAATGCACACAATTCTACGGGATCATTTTGTTAAAATAAATAACTTTTCTTTTCACAGACGCTAAAGAAGGAACAAGCACCGAAGAAGTTCCTGAAAAAGTCGAACCAATCATTGAACCGAATAAACCAAACTATGTTTATGTTAATACAGCCGAAGAAGATTCAATGGTTGTTCAATTTGTGTTGTGTTGGCGTAAAGGTAAACGTGAATTAATACCGGATCCACCACCAAAACCGGTTGAAGAAATCAAGAAGGAAGAGCCTGCAAGTGTTGATGAAACGAATGAATCGGAAGCACCAAAAGTCGAAGATGGTGATGAAAAACCAGTCGAGGACAGTGAAACCGATGTAAAGGCCGAAGTGAAAACCGAAACTGAAAATGAAACTGAAGGATCTGATGGTGCTGCAAAATCAGAAACAGAAACAGAAACAGAAGATAAGGAACAAGACGAAAAAGTTCCAGAAGAAGAAGAAAAAGAAAGTGAAAAGAAAACAGATGAAGCAAATGCTGAAGGTGAATTAAAGGTGGCTAGTGAAACGCAAGATTCTGAAAAGGTTGAAGTTGAAAAACCATTGGAAGAAGAAGAACAACAACAACCAATGGAAACTGAAGAACAATCTGAAGCGAAGCCAGAAGAGAAAGACGAGACAGAAGAAATAAAAATGGAAGTTGACGAAGAAATGGCGCCAACCGAACAAAATGAAGAGGCCGCTAGAACCGAATGTGAAAGTGAACCAGCGGTTAAAGATGATGATAATGTTGCCGAAAAGGAGGTTTCAACCGAAAAGAGTGAAGAACAACCAATGGAAACCGATGGAGCCGAAACTAAAGAAGAAACAGTTAAGACGGAAGATGCAGAAGAAGAAACCACCGACGATGAGAAAAAAGAAACAAAAACAGAAACTGAAGCTGAAGCTAAAACCGAAGAAGGTGAAGAGCAAAAACCAGAGCCAGTGTTCATTGAGGTCGATGAATACTACGTGAAATACCGAAATTTCTCGTACTTGCACTGTGAATGGCGCACCGAAGAAGAACTGTTGAAAGGTGATCGTCGTGTTAGTGCAAAAATTCGTCGTTTCCAAGTGAAACAATCACAACAATTGAACATCTTTGAGAGTCTTGAAGACGAACCGTTCAATCCCGATTTTGTTGAAACGGATCGTGTGTTGGATATATCAGTGCATGAAGATCCAGTAACTGGTAAAAAGACAAGAAATTTCTTGGTGAAATGGAAATCACTGCCTTATGAAGATTGTACGTGGGAATTGGAGGACGATGTTGAAGAGAAGAAAATCGAAGAATATTACCGATTCAATAAAGTTCCACCAAAAGATAAATGGAAGCCAAAGCGTCGTCCGTCGCCCGATATGTGGCGTAAATTGGATGAATCTCCAATTTATAAAAACAACAATACACTGCGTCCATATCAATTGGAAGGTTTGAATTGGTTGAAATTCTCTTGGTACAACAGCCACAACTGTATTCTAGCCGATGAGATGGGATTGGGAAAAACCGTGAGTTAAAATGTTTCGTAGTTGAACGAACACTACTTTTTACCAATCGAATAAAATTTCTAAATCCAATTTTTTTTTTCGTTCATTTTCTAATTGTAGATCCAAAGTTTAACGTTTGTGCATTCATGCTACACGTATGGTATTCGCGGTCCATTTTTAGTAATTGCTCCATTGTCAACGATCCCAAATTGGCAACGAGAATTCGAAGGTTGGACGGATATGAATGTCATTGTTTATCATGGTTCGACGACAAGCAAACAAATGATCGGTGAATACGAATTTTATTATAAAACTGAAAGCGGAAAAACGATTAAAGATATGAATAAATTCAATGTATTGATTACAACATTTGAAATTATTGTATCTGATTACAATGATTTGCGTAATTTCAATTGGCGTGTGTGTGTCATTGACGAGGCACATCGTTTGAAAAATCGTAATTGTAAACTGCTAGAAGGTTTGCGTCAATTAAATTTGGAACATCGTGTACTTTTGTCGGGAACACCACTGCAAAACAATGTCAATGAATTGTTTTCGCTGCTCAATTTCTTGGAACCGTCACAATTTTCGTGCAGCGAATCATTCTGCAATGAATTTGGCAGTTTGAAAACTGAAGATGAAGTTAAAAAGCTGCAAGCATTGTTGAAACCAATGATGTTGCGTCGATTGAAAGACGACGTTGAAAAATCATTGGCCCCAAAAACCGAAACCATTGTCGAAGTTGAATTGACAAACATTCAAAAGAAATACTATCGTGGTATTTTGGAGCAGAATTTTTCATTTTTGAAAAAAGGTACGACCGCACAAAATCTTCCAAATCTCATGAATACAATGATGGAATTACGAAAATGTTGTATTCATCCATACTTGCTGAACGGAGCCGAAGAACAAATTCAATACGAAGCACATGGCGATGATCCAGATGCATATTATAAAAATTTGATTCTATCTGCCGGTAAAATGGTATTGCTCGACAAATTGCTGCCGAAATTGAAAGCAAACGGTCATCGTGTGTTGATTTTCAGTCAAATGGTTCGATGCTTGGATATTCTTGAAGATTATCTTATTTACAAAAAGTATCCATTTGAACGTATCGATGGTCGAATTCGTGGTAATCTGCGTCAAGCTGCCATCGATCGTTATTCGAAACCCGATTCGGATCGATTTGTTTTCCTATTGTGTACAAAAGCTGGTGGTTTAGGTATTAATTTAACCGCAGCCGATACCGTTATCATTTATGACAGTGATTGGAATCCACAGAACGATTTGCAAGCTCAAGCTCGTTGCCATCGTATTGGTCAACAAAAATTGGTGAAAATCTATCGTTTATTGTGCCGTAACACTTATGAACGTGAGATGTTCGATAAGGCATCGATGAAACTTGGTTTGGACAAAGCCTTATTGCAAAGTATGAACAGTAATCTGAGCAATGACAAAAATGCCAGTGTTGGACGACAATTGACGAAAAAAGAAATCGAAGATTTATTGAAACGTGGTGCTTACGGTGCTGTTATGGACGATGACAATGCCGCTGATAAATTCTGTGAAGAAGATATTGATTCGATTTTGATGCGACGCACCCAGGTCATTACAATGGAAAGTGAAAAAGGATCAACATTCTCGAAAGCAACATTCGCTGCATCGGGCAATCGTGCTGATATTGGCATTGATGATCCAGACTTTTGGAACAAATGGGCCAAGAAAGCTGAATTCGATCCCGATGCCATGGAGCGTGACGAACAAGAAGACTTGGTACTATCTGAACCGCGTCGTCGTACACAAATCAAACGGTACGGTCATGACGAAGGCGTTCTTGACGGCATTTCCGATGAATCACAAAATTCTGAAACGGACGAAGAAGGCGGCATTGGATTGCGAAGGAAAAACGAAGAGAGGCAACGTCGAAAGGAAAGACGAAGACGCATGAAACAAATCGAAGATTATATACCATCACGTGAACGTAATACCGAAATATTACCAATGCCATGTCAAACCGAAGATGTGTCGTACGGCAATTGGGCACGAACCGAATGCTTCAAAATCGAAAAAGGACTATTGTCATTTGGGTAAGTGTATCTGCGCACTTTTTGCATTATGCAAAGTAATTTTGTTTTCAACTGATTTTAAACGTATGCTTCTCTTTATTTCAATTGAAGATGGGGTCGTTGGACAGAAATTTTGGCACAAGGCCAATTCAAACGTGGTTGGCAAGAGTCCGACATTGAAAACTGCGCCAGAATCATTGTAAGTAACAAAAAAAACGCATTTACTTTGAATCAACCGAATTGTCTCGTTTAAAATATGATGATTTTCATGCTAATAATTAGAGAGCCCGAGGCTTTCGTTGACTAAAACCAGAAAAACTTCTCAACTATTCACTGATTACTTTTGATCGAACAAAAAATTACTCAATACGGTTTTATTCGCAGAACTTTGCTATAAATTTCATTTTTCTTCATTTTCATTACAGCTGCTGTACTGTTTGTCAGTATATCGTGGTGACGAGAAGATCAAGAATTTCATTTGGGATTTAATATCGCCCAATGAGTCTGGTGAAGCCAACATTATCAGCCGTAATCACAGTGGTTTGCATAATCTGGTGCCACGTGGTCGCAACGCAAAAGGTATGCTGTGCATTTTGGAATAAATTACATAAACTTAATAAATTGAAAATATATACTTATGAGATTTTCTTTATCGTTTTCTCTCGTCGATTCAAATCCGTTTCATTTTCAATTTCACTTGTATTTGTGTGTTTTTTTTTGCGCTTTTACTATTTACATTTCTAATCTTTTGCTATTTACATTTCTAACCTCTGTCAAACAAATGTATTTATTTTGCATCTATTATGTTTCTCATTAAATTTATCATTTTCATGTGTTTCGTTTTCAACTTCAATCGCATTTTTTGTTTTTGGATTTGAACCATATTTCTTTTAAGGACGTAAAGGTGGTAAAGGCATAAAGGAAGGTCCTCAAACTCCTTGCACATCAGCAACAGCATCAACATCAGGCACATCAACTCCATCAGCTCCGTCGACACCAAATCCATCAACATCGTCGCAAGAAAGTGAGTGCCGTAAGATCAACTTTTCTTCTTTAGAGAATTGACATTGTTTTTTTTTTATTACGAAATCAAATATTTGATGACTTGCAATGTGTTTTAAACTGTGAACTTTACCTTTTAGAACCAATCGAAATACCGAAGATTGAAGCTCCTCCCACACCAGATGTGGTGATTACCAGTGGTGTGCCAACATTGAACGATCCAAACCACTGGAGCAAAGATGAGAAATTCGATTCGGAGGCCTTTTTAGAGGCACCATATAAAAAGCACTTGGGACGACACGCCAACAAGTGAGTGTGTAAAAATCATATCCATGCGAGGAAACTATAGATTTCCGCCCGTTTTTGTATCTCTTTTCACCCAAAATGAAATTCAAAAATTAATCGCTTTTTCCATTACTTTTATTCCTTGGTTATTTTTCTTTGTTTTGATTTTGTGTTGTGGCATTGCTTTTCTTTTGTAGGGTTTTACTTAGAGTACGCATGCTGTACTATATTAAACATGAAGTTATTGGCGATTGTGTTAAACAGATTCTTGACGGTGTTAGTGTTGCGTAAGTATATTCTACCATTCTAATTAAACTTCAAAAAAATCAGAGTTACTCTTAATTGAAAAATCACCAAATGCAATAAAATGTAATGTTGTAATTTTACAGTGATATCCCAGTAAATCCACCACCAACAAATGATCCAGCACCAACAAATTGGTGGGTACCAAAATGTTGTGACAAAAGTCTTTTGATTGGTACATTCAAACATGGCTGTGAAAGCTACTACCCAATGCGTTGCGATCCAGCCCTTTGCTTTGTTTCTCACATTGGACCAGAGGACAAACTTCCTGTACCAATACTGTAAGTTATTACCTTTTTATTTGTTCTGAACATATTGTATTATCGCAATGCATTTCCACAATTAAACTGATCAAATTTGTAACTCTAATCGATTGCATGTAAACAGAACTGAAGATGATGCCGCATCGAAACATGAAAATGAAGATGAAGCCGATGAAGAGTTATCTGATGCCAAGGAAAAAGACAAAGAAAAGGAGAAAGAGCCTGAAAAGGAAAATGAAACTGAGCCAGAAAAAGAAAAATCAGTTGAAGATTCGCCAAGCAAAGAATCACCAAAAGATGCTGCAGCAGAACCAATGGAAATTGGCGAAAGTAAACCAGCCGATGCGGTTGAAACAGAAAGACCAAGTTCGTCAGGTAATCATTTCAGTTCCATACAATTTTTAGCCTTACACGCAGATATTGGAGACTTTCTCCTGCGTGAGATTTAATGCTTCGAGGACAAAATGCAACCATTCAGAATTCTAATTAAATTTATGCAAAAAAATAGGTGTTGATGATGAGGTTGAAAGCAATCTAGGTGCTCCTCCAAGTGTGGCTGGCAGTGTGACTGGTGCACCCGTCGAAGATAGCCTGATTTGGCCATCGATGCAAGATCTAAACACTCGTTTACGTCGTGTCATTACATCATATCAGCGCAACTACAAGAAGGAAGAACTGAAGCAACAACAAAAGGCCAAGGTACATTTTTTTCTATCATCTTATTTTCCACATAATAAAAAAATCTATCTACCTTCTCTCGAAGTACTTTCGAGAATCTAATCAAAGAACTCTATAGTTAGGGATGAATGATAGCTTTCGAAACCGATTTAAAAAAATATATATATATCAAATTTCTGAGAATATTTCGCACCGAAAGTACACAACAAAACACGATCACACAAAATAGTATGAGTTCTATTTCGAACGCACTTTTAAATTAGTTTAATATTATTTCCCCCTATATTTGTTTCATTCGTTTTATTTATCGTCTCTTTTTCTAAAAACAAAAACAAAAAAAAATTGGCAAAACAAAAACTTTTTATGCGTATACATATTTTCTGATTGAGTTGACAATCCTGATTCGATAAAAAAATATGTTGAAATCAATTGTAGTTCGTATGGTTTCTTGTATTATTATTTCTGAGTTTGTGCAATTGTTTCTAAATCTGTTCGTTTGTTTAGAGAAATTTACTTGTAAATTTTTTTTTAGAGAAAAACAACAAGGTTTATTAGAACTTTTATCATTTGTCGATGCATGTTTTATTCCAAAATCAACAAAAAAAAAACATTTTTTATGATTTTTCTTATTAGTTTTTAGTATTGAATCACACGTGCACCACAAACAAAACAAACAAACAAAAAAAAAACAATATCGCGAATATGAATCAAACGAGAAAGAGAAGAAGAAAATAAAAATAAAATATTAACAAATTTTTTTAACTTAAGACAAATCAATTGATTCCACTTGTAACAGAGTGAATCGAAATGGCAAACAAAATCAAAACAGAATTATTTTATAATTTTTGATATGTGTGTGTCTTTAGCTTCAAGCGCTGGTAACAATACCACAACAGCCAATTCAAGGGCTACAGACGCAAACGAAGTTAGTGAATACCACGGCGCAATCGATTCCACCAATTGTGCCGTCGACCAGTCAACAAACGACGCAACGACCGGTTGTCGGTCAATTATCACACCAACAACAACAACAACAAACCCAAATGCAACAACAAGAACCGTCTGCAGCCGAAATAAATTTAATGCTGAATAGTCTGGGCTTAGGTCTACCGCCCAACGAAACCTTGCAATTGGCCAATTGGGATCTCAAGAAATTGGCCATGTACTTGGTTAGTAAAGTGACAATGTGTCTACTTATGCTCTCACACACAAACCGCGAATCGCTCGAAATCCATATTACAAACGAGCGATTCATCATATTTGAATCTCTTTCTCTCATACCCCATTTTGTTATTTGTTCTTATTTTTTTTATATAAAATATAATTTAACCTTACCATGCAAGCAAAAACATACACATTCAAACTTAACAAAAAAAAAGATACCAAACAAACCACTCTTACACATTTTCAATTTGTTTTGTTGTTGTTGTTTTTCTTTCCATTAAAAAAAAAAAAACAAACCAAATTCAATTCCATTTACATATTTGTTTTATATAAATTATTCCAAACTCATTGTTCCATCCATTTTGGCTAAGACACATTATTTTATTGCTTCGCTTGATTTTTATTTATTCTTTTGCTTATTGATTGCATACAAAAAAATCATCAGAGGTTGTGTAGCAGCGCTTTTTATTATACAGTTTGTTATCGCTTTGCATTTTGGATTTTGGCTGGTTGCTTCGAAATTTTCTTTTACGCTTTTTGAATAGATCCCCTTTTCATATATTATATGGCATGCATTTTTATCATTTTGTAATATATATTTTTTTGGAAAAAGAGAAAATTAAAATTGAAACCAAAGAGATTGTGTTAAAATACGCAAAAAAAAAACATGATTGAAAGAACGAAAAAAAGATGAAAAAAGAAGTGTTATAACTTCATAATACACATGACAATTTGGTATTCTCAATACGAAAGTACAGATGGAAGAAAAAAAATCAGCTGTTGCATCAAACTAAATATGCAACTGAAATAAATCAGTTTTGCGTGACTTTTAAAAAGCTTTTTTTCATCTTTTTTTTCTTAACAAATTCTATTTAAATAAGGGTATTGTCATTTCATTTCAAACTTTTCACACTTCTAATTTTGAGTTGTTGGCACATTTTATTGAACTCTAAAACTAACACGTGACATTTTTTATCTTTTCATTTTTCATTACTAAACATTCGTTTCATCAGCGAAACGATAATTTTGGGCACAATTCTGTAAAAAACTAACATTTTTTCTTCGACTTTCACAAATTTGTCGATTAATATACTTCTCTTAATAAACTCTTTTAATTTTAACTGGCACTTTACTCTTGTACAAACAAAAAAGAATCATTTGACATTTTGTGTGTGTTTACTTTTGTCGATGTTGTGGCATATTTTCACATGTGATAACTCTATTCAATAATAACATTTATAAAAAATACATTTTTTTCTCATATTTACAAATCCTAATAACACTTTCATTCCAATTGTACATTTACACGCTTTATAATCGCTTCCACAAACTACGCGAAAAAAATAATTCTCAAAAAATAAAACGAATTTCCATTATTTGATTCTCTTTTCTCTTTCGTATAGAAAATGGAAAAACGCGAAAAAATCGAGCAGGCTGTCAAGGAGCGTGAGCGCGTTCGTCTTGATGCAATTCCAAAGAAATGGAATAAACGTGAAGAGTATGAATTCTTGCGTGTGCTAACTGGTTATGGTGTTGATTTGCAAAATGGTGTCGCCATTCCAACACCCGATTGGTCACGTTTTAGAGCCATTGCAAAGTTAGATCGAAAGAGTGACGAAGCGCTTAGCGATTACTACAAAGTATTTATTGCAATGTGCAAACGACAAGCCAACGTTCGTTTGACCGAAGAAGAAAAAGGTTTGGAAGGCATCATCGAAGACATTAGCGAAGATCATGCTCGATTGATCTTAGATCGCTTGGAATTGCTATCGAAATTAAAGGAAGTTGGCAAAACCGCACTCAACGATGAACGTTTGAGTTTGTGTCAAAACAATTTGGACACACCCGATTGGTGGGAGTCTGGTAAACATGATCGTGAATTGGTTCGCGCAGTTATGAAACATGGTCTTTATCAATCACAACAAAATATTTTCATCGATCCAGAGTTTAGTTTTGCAGCGTCTGAACGCGCTTATCTTGAAATGCTTGAAAAACAATGGATTTTGACACAACAAGCTGAAGCAGCCAAATTATTGGCCAAACCGGAACCGATTAAAGTTGAACCAACTCCACTACCACAAGAACCAGCGGTAGTTGCTGAGAGCGAGAGTGTTAAAGCCGAGACTGAAGTTGAAGAGGTCAAAGTTGAAACTCCCAAGGAAATTGAATCAAGTGAAGAAAAAGAAACTGAAAAAGAGCAAATTGAAGAAACCAAACCGGAGCCAGTCACTGAAAGCGAAAAAATGGTCGAAGCTGAGAAATCAGTTGAAGATGAACCAAGTGCCGAAAAGGCTGACATTGAAATGAGCTCTGTTGATTCTGAAAAACCAAGCGAATCGGCCGAAGAAACGCCTAAAGTGGATGAAGCTAATACTGAGGTTAAATCACCAGTCGCACAAGAACCAGAGGCTGAAAAGCCAGAAGAAACAGCACAAGAAGATATGGAATCAATTTCAGAGGAAAAACCAGCTGAGAGTGAAACCACCGAAGAAGTCGCTGAGGTAAAATCACCAAAAGCAGAAGAACAACATGAAAAAGAAGAGAAAGAAGATACTGATGACAGTGAACAAATGGACACTTCTGACATTGAGACACCAAAATCGCCAGAAAAGCCAGCAGTTGAAAGCGAACCAGCTGAAGAAAAAGAGGCCGAAGCTCCAAAATCTCCTCTGGAACAAGAAGAAAAATCAGAACCAACAGAAAATGTTGAAACTAATGACGTTGAAATGGCTGAGGAAGCCACCGAAAACGACAAAGTTGAAGAAGAATCTCCAAAAGGTGATGACGAATGTGTTAAACCAGCGTCACCAAAACCGGTCGCAGAAGAAGAACAAGAAAAATCTGAAACGGTTGAAAAGGAATCATGCGAAAAAGAAGAGAGTGTTTCTAGAACAACCGAAACCACAGTTGAGGAAGAAAAACCTGTAGAAAGCGAGGCTAAATCGCCGAAAACACAAGAGTCGACTGAAACTGAAAATGAATCTGAAGAGCAAAAGAAAGTTCCAGAAGAAACTACTGCCGCAGAAATTGCTGAGCCAAAATCACCAAAAGAAGCAGAAAAAGAGCAATCCGTTGCCGAAAAAGAGGAAATAGTTGCGATTGAAGAAATTAAAACCGAAAAAGAAACTGAAAGTGAACCAATTGAAAAGGAAGAACCAAAGGTCGAATCAGTTGAAGATGTGAAGCCAGTGTTGAGCCCAGTCAAAGTCGAAGAGAAGAAAGAACAAGAAGAAAATTGCGTTACTATCATCGATGATGATGACGATGTAATGATTGTGGGCAAAGGTGATCCAGACGATGATGAGGTCATGCATGAAAAAGAAAAGGCTTCTATCGAAAAGCAAAATCAACAATTGGCAGCACTATTGCAACAGACTCGATTGAAGTTCGAAAATCCAGTTAAAGTTCGTTGGTTCCACGATTTTGCGTTGGAAAAACGTGTTTCACATATTGTTCATTGCATTGAGCATTCGGAATGGCCGGTTAATAAATCGTATTCAGCTTATGCTGGTTGCCAAGGCATCAATTTAGATGTTCCATTGCATGAAACAGTCAAACACATGCCACCAACTATTGATTTGGTTGGTCGATCAACTCCAGATCTTTTATCGATTTCGGGAGATTTGACATCGTCAAAGAAACTGCAATCAACACCAATATTACCAATGCCATCAGCGCAGAAGACGCAATATCCGAACATGCAAATGCCAACAATGCCAACAAGTGGTAAAAAACGCAAGCGACACATTGCCATCGATGTCGAAACGGAACGCGCTAAATTACATGCACTTTTGAATAGTTCACAAGATATGCCGTCACCACAAACACCAATTCAAAATAAGCAAATAAATTGGCCAACAGAAGACGATCAACAACAAAAGACCTCTAAACGATCATTGTCGTCCATGCAACCACCACCAGCTCATCAACACCAATCACATATGTCGCGATCCGGTTCAAATCAACAACAACAACAGCAACAGCAGCAAAAACAACAACAACAAGCGGCCAATTACAGTACAAAATCAACCCTAATTCCTGGCACTTCAAGCACATTGACACCAATTGATCTATCATCAAGCTTGGCAAAACCAATGAAAGACTTTTCTAAATCGAGTCCAATTGATTTGAGTGAAGTGCAAGATTTTTCTGTGTCAAAGAAATCGTCGATTTCATCGCCATTTGGTGGAAAAGGAAAACTTGATGACATGTTGACTAAATTGATGAAAAAGAACAATTATGTAAGATTTTACTTTTGTTTTATTTTTGAAAATTACGATAATTGTTTTTTATTTGAAATTAATTTAATTTGTTGGTTATTCTTTTAATACAGCCAACACCAACCGAAGAGCCACCAGTGACAAGTGGAAAAGAGAAACGCAAGCGAAAACTTGACGAAATTGTTTTTGGTTTATCAGCTGCCAAGGAGCAGAAAACATTTAGCGACCCATTGCTTTCGTCACCGTCATCGAAGAAAACACAAATTCCACCATCAGTGTCGGTGACACCAGCAACTGGTCCATCTTCATTGAGCAGCCAATCGTCATCGTCACAGAAACCATTCAGTGTTACTGTGACCAGTGTTCCAGGTTCAAATACAAGTAAGAACAATGAATATTTACCTTTTTCATTTCCATTCATTTCAATTTGTTTTTTACTGATGATTAACAAAAATTGTCTCTTTTAATTTAGGATCATCCAAAAATTCAAATCAAAGCAATAGTGGTCTTGCTGCCTTGCAAATGATGATGGGAGCCACTGGATCAAGCTCAAATACACGTGGTAGTAATAATAGTAGTAGTTCAAATTCTAATCCATTCGCGATGCAAGGTGCCACAGCCAAAGATATTTTGGCACAGTCACAAGCATTTTTCAAAGAACAACAGAAATTACTGCAGGCACTACCACCAAACTCTGTTCAACGCAAAACATACGAGGCTATTTTGAACGAAATGAAACAAGCCGCTGAACAAAAGTATGTCTCATTCTCTACTCTTTATTATACATCCGAGTTTTTCAATCAATCACATTTTAATATGACTTCTTTTTCCCATTTTACAGTGCAAAATATGCTGCAGCTCAAGAGGCGAAAGCAAATCGAAGCATGGAACATGAATCAAAACGACATACAGACACATCGCATTCACAATCGGCAAGTGATTTCCGTCGTTCGACACGTCAACAGACACAATCAGTTGGACAACAATCATCGCAGCAGATGAGCTCACAAAATGCCAGCCATCAAACTGCATTGAGTCATCAGGCGGCCATAAATGCAATGAAAAATTTGACCGGTGAAGAGAATGTGGCTGTTATCAATAAGCTCACTGGTAAACGAATAAGCGGCAGCAAAGCACCTCAATTGAAACGTTTGAGTCAATGGCTTACCGAAAATCCAGCCTATGAAATCGATCCGAAATGGATTGAATTGCTACAGGCAACAACAGCTTCAATGTCAAAGGCCAGTGATAGTCTGTCGATGAGCATGTCTTCTTCTTCGTCAAAACAACAATCACAACAGCAACAGCAACAACAGCAGCAGCAACAACAACAACAACAGCAGCAGCAACAGCATAGCTCTTCATCAAGTACATCAAATCAACATGGTTCAAATTATTCAAGTCAGTCACAATCGCAAGCGTCATCATCGAAGAAGGGCCGACAAAGTGCACTGGATGCAGCAACAGCAGCTCAAATTCAACAATTAACTAGTCTTGGCCTAAATCCAAGCCTGTTGTCAAGTTTATCGCTTGGCGGTTTTGATCCGAAAAATCCATTACTTTCAATGCCATTTGCAGCTGGCTTGCCAAATCTAGCTGGCATGAGTGGATTGGGTAACTTGAACAATTTGAACATGAATATGCTCGCCAATTTAGCTGGACTAGGTGGTTTCGGTGGATTAGATCCACAAAATTTAGCCGCTATGGCAGCAATGGCTGGATCAAATTTGGGAAATCTTAATCTTGCTAATTTGGCCAATTTAACCAAATCGAGCACAAACCAACAATCGTCGTCGTCATCTAGCAAAGAGCGAAAATCGACATCAACATCGTCACAATCGCAATCACAACAATCGAGCTCATCATCGAATCAACAACAATCGTCCAAATCGTCAACAAGTGGACGATATTCAATGGATGCTAATAATCCATTCTTGTTCCCAAATCCATTGGGTTACACACCAATGGGCTTGGCCGGTTTGAATCCATATTCGTCGTCAAGTTCAAATATGTCCGTATACGATCAATTGGCTCAACAATATAATTTATTGAATGGAATCTCGACGGCCGGTACATCGAATACAAATACACCATCAACCAGTACAAGTTCGGCACGTCAACAATCGTCGAGTAAATCATCGACCACATCTCGAATGAGTTCAAGTGCATTGCCAACCAGTCAAACACAACAATCGCCGTCGAGCCGAGGTCGCAGCAGTTCATCAACTGCAAGCCAACTCAGCCGTGAAGCGGCTCAAATACAAAGTTTGCTTGGACTACCACAAGATCCGCAATTCTTGGAAACGTTATCACGTGTTGGTTTTGATCTTTCTGCTTTGACTGGTGGACGTAGTTCGTCATCAAATACTTCAAGTAAAAGTCAACAACAGCAACAACAGCAGCAGCAGCAGCAGCAGCAACAGCAACAACAACAGCAGCAAGCCAAACAAGATCGCCAAGATCGACAAGATCGACAAGATCGCCAAGAGCGTCAAGATCGTCAAGATCGTCAAGACCGTCAAGATCGTCAAGATCGAAATGACAAAGCGGAAAAAGAACGCCGCAAATTAATGGAAACATTAAGCCGAAGTGGTTTACCACCAGAGCTAGCAGCAATGCAAGCTTATGCCAGTAAATTACCGGGTGCATCATCGTTGTCATCAAGCTCAAAGGCATACAAAGATGCTGGATTGATTCCGCCCGATTTTAGTCAAGCATTGTTTGCTGAAATGGCCGCACAAATGGCTGCTGCCCAAAGCGGTAGTTCCACATCGAAACGTCAACGTGAACAAAGAGAGCAACGTGATCATCGTGAACAGCAGCGCGAACAAAGAGACAAACAACGTGACCGCGAACAAGAAATGAAAGATACATTTGAACAATTGAATAAACAACAAGTGGAAATGTTTGCACGTAATTTGGGAATGGGTCCGGGTATTTCGTTGATTCCAACGTCATCGGCAGCATCATCGATGTACAGCAGCATTTTGGACGAACCAAAATCAAAACGTTCCCGAATGTCATCCTCGTCACAACAATCAAATCGTGATAGTTTGGCCAGTTTAATGGCAGCCGCTGTTGCTGATGAAAAACAATTGAGAGCTCTAACGAGAAGCAGCCGTTCGAGCACATCAACAACTAGCATAAATGCTGGCACATCGAATGAAACCACCATTGAAAAGGTCACATTGTCACCAGTTGCAGCCGCAAGCATTGCTGGCCTTCCACCACAAACATCGATTACTATTGCTCCATCACCATCATCACAACAACATGATAAGGTACACACACATTCTTTAACATAATTTACTCGTTTTGTCATTTTCAATTCGGTTTTATTTCAATCATGATACTAATGAAATCATTCTTTCTATAGCAATCTGTGAGCATGTCACCACTGCCAAGCCCTGCCAAGTCGTCAGATAGTTCTCCATCAACAAGACAACATCAGGTAAAAAAAATGCGTCAATGAACTGTGTATTATATTGCATTCAAAATGGAAGCCAGTCGAACAGAAAGTAATTTGATTTCTTTGTTTTTTCTTTCTTTTGAAAATAGCCCGAAACACGCGAACGTGACAGAGATCGTGAACGTGAGCGCGAACGAGAAAGAGAACGTGACAGGGAAATTGAGCGTGAACATCGTGAAAGTCGCGAAAGAACACCATCTAAACAGACATCGAGCTCAAACCAACAAGAACAGGTATGTGTTTCTCTGCGTTAAATTGAATTGTTTCTTCATTTTTACTAAAATTCATTTATTATTTCACTAGGAGCAATCAAACCAAGAGATGGATCTTGAAGATTTAATTGCACCATCAAAGGTGTCCAAGAATGGTGGACAATCAACACCATCAACGCCAATCAATACCACGGCACCATCGAATACGTCGCGTGACAGTGAATCTTCATTTAATGCCGACAAAGAGGACAAAGAGAGTGAATCAAAATCGAATGAAGCAAAATCGTCCGAACATCAAGATGATACCTCGGGTCGTGTTGGTCGACGAACACGTAGCAAACGACCACGATCGGGTGAAGATTTTCAAGAATTAGTTTTGCCCGAACGCAAGCGTGAATTACGATCATCGGCAAGCCGATTGGCAGCTGCTGCAGCTGCACGACATGCTGCCGAAGAGGCGGCCGCCAAAATGGCCAACGAATCACAAAACAACTAAAAAATAAAACCTTCAATTTTTTGTACATTGACAAAAACTACAACAAAATTTAAATGTGAAGGAAAACTAAACAAATCTATGCGAATATTTATTTAATATTAAATTATATCCAATGTTATATAAAATATTGCAAAATCTGAAACGATATGACATACGAAAGAAGCAAAAAACAAAAAAAAAATGAAATGACGATGCATCGAATGTTGTTGATGATGCAGTGTTAAAATGTGAATGACGAACCATTGGATTGGGGGATTCAAATGCATCGAAATGAGCATTAGCCTGCATACTATCAACTTAATCATATAATGTGACCTCCATGCAGACTTGATGCTGCATGGCAATAAATGTGAACAAACGAGAAAAAAAACGGTCCATGTCATCATCGTTAAAAGAAAAACTATAAAAAGAAAAATTACAACAAATTTATACATAAATCATTTTAACTAAAAAGAAAAAAAACTAAAATAAAAGAAACACACAACAAATGAAAATATTTGAAATAAAGATTTAGATTTATTTGAAGGTAATACACATTTGTAGATGTTTAAGAATTTCGAGATAAGACAAAAAAAAAAACAACAACAAGAAATGAAAATGAAAAATTTCTCGAGTAAATAGAATTTAGACTTATTGTTTAAAATGAAAATAAAATGGGATCGGAATGTTTGTGGCCCAATATTTCGGATGCATGGCATGCATCAATATTTAGCACAAATGAACAAGAATCGGACTGATAATTTTTTTAAAAAAAGAAACGCTCCGATTCATTCTGTGTGTATTCGAAAATGGCAAAACATACGACCGACGTGATTATGCTTATAATTTTAAGAGAGCCAAAAGCAAGTGAAAATGAATACATTTAATTTACGAGAGAAAAGAAATAACAGCAACACAAATCTGATCATAACACATTTTGAAGGGATAAACATAGAACAAGAGTTCAATCGCATGTAATTAGCTAATTCTGTTAGATGGTAAAGTTCAGCACACACACACACAGATAAATTTAATAACGCATAAGTCAAAGTGTAGACATAAAATGATATTTCTTTTTTTTTTACACGTGTAATTGTATTATTTTTTTCTCTAATTTTTCCGCCTTAAGTTCCAATTCAAATCGTTTATTTACAATGTAATTTCTTGTTTTCTTTTTTCTATCACCCAAAAACAAATTTTTAAATAAAAATACACTGATTAAATTCTATTTCAATTAATTCTCCTTTTTTTTCCTTCCATTTTTTTTCTCGTTGGATACAGTGAAAGTTTCAATTTGAAACAATTAGATTTTTATTACAAAACAAACGACATACTATGGACTGATCCATAGAAATGATAGAATTTTTTGTGAATGAACAAAGAGAAATTATCTGTATTGATATACTGACATTGACAGAGTAATAATAAAAATATTGAAATATTATTGATAATCTTAGGAAATTGACTTTTTATTTCTTTTGAAATTGTAAGGGTGATGGCGATTAATTCTATATCAAAGGTGGTAAACTGCATCTATTTTTCGGTTAAAAATACTTGATTTGACAGCACACATACAACTATAAAATGCTTCAATTCGATTTCTTGTTGATGTCAAACTCTGACAGATAAGTTTTTGATGTCACATTTGTGTATGATCTCTGTTTATCAGTCAATTATAAGACGATTGTTTCTTTTATTAAAAAAAAAAAACAGGTAAAATATCGTTGATTTTCACATTTATTCAAATTAACCTTTCATTATTTTAATTTTTCAATGGAATACTGTGATTGTAAAGATAATGGAGAACAAACCAAACTACGACATTGTGATAAGCTCAGAAACGATGACTAAGATTGTTTCCTACAAATATGATTTGTGTGCCAAAAAAGCGACATCCGGATGTTATTTGATGGAAAGCCTGAATGCAAGCCAGTCTCAACTTAATCAAATGACGACTACGGAAGAATTAGTAACACTTTTGCTGCTTACCAAAAAACCCATGATATTTGCAGAGAGCGAAATTAGAGGAGATGGTTCTGATTGGAATGAAATGGAATTGCAAATTTTGGGTGAATTGGGAATTGCGATGAATGTTGAGATTTACGACAATGGCGTCTGGGAACCAAGAAATTCAAACTTTTCTACACACGTTCCACCACTGAATGGGACATTACTGTTTATTCCCGGTCCATTGCTCGATCAAGTTTGTCCGGACTTGAAAGAGGTTACTTCTGGAAATAATATCGATCAAGATAAATACAATCTACTGATTGAGAGAAGATTGATGCCACTGCTTTATTATGCCAACGAAAATGCAAAGAAAGAAAACATGCTCGCATTGATAACATGCCCTGGTGTGGGATGTGGTGCATTTGCAGGCCGATTTTGTGGACAAATGGGAGAACATTTGAATCAAGCATTGCAGTACATTTTGAAAAAACATGCCCATAATTTCGATAATATCGCTTGTGTGTACTTCGATCCATTCAGCGAATGTTCAAATGAATCGCATCAATTTGTAAACGTCAAATATCGCATACGACCAGAGTTACAAAATCCCGATATGTCTCAATTGTGTAATCCCAAACAATACGAAGAATCTGGAGATAATTTTTCGAACTGCAAATTGTTCAAAATCGTTGCTTGGGATCATGCGTCTTTTCCGGGCAATGATTATTTTGCGGGGTCCAGATATACCGACGATGGCGTTTCTGCAGCGGCCACGAATTCAATGGAAGTGATAACAGGAATCAAAGGAAGGTACCATAAAGGCCATTATTTGCCACCCAAAGGGAATAGAAATTGGAAAGAGGTTGTGGAGAAAAATAAAATCACTTTACTAGCAAAAAATAATATAAAAATTGCAACTGAATTTGGATTTATTGATTTGTAAAATAGAATTTATTTTTATGTTTAATTTCAAATGTATAAATAATTACGCAAAAACAGTCTGTAGCATGATTATTGGCTGCATTTCAAATTAGATCATTATTTTGTAATAAACTTGAAGCAAATTATTTATTATTATTTTTTTTTTGTAAATAGCACAAAAGACGTCACTCAAAATAATATATTTAAAAGAGCCGCCTCCTTGTTGAATTTGACAGCACACATACCACTGGACATTTTATTCCAATGAACTTTTAATATAATCGTAAGTAATGTGACAGCACTGTTTACTCTAAAATTTGTTATGTTTACTAGACAACTACTATCGAGAACTTTTCAAAGGGAAGTAGGTTTGGTTCATTTAAAAAAGAATAAAAAGGTAAAATAATTTGGTATTAAAATCTTTCAAGTATATTTAAAAATGATTGTAATATTTTATTAATGCTGAATTGAATGAAATGTTAGATTGCATAAAACAAATTATTCATTGTGATCGTCAAACTTTTACATTTTTCAGTGGGTTGCTGTGATACATCACACATATAGAGAAATGGAAAACAAACCCAAGTACGACATTGTATTGGGACAAGAATCTTTGAATAACATTGTTTCCTACAAAAATGATCTGTGTACCAATAAAATTGCGCCTGGAACTAATTTGATGGGAGTTCTGAACGCAAGCCAATCTCAACTTAATCAAATGACCACCGAAGAATTCGTAACACTTTTGTTGTTGACCAAAAAACCAATGATTTTTGCGGGAGATGCGAATAAAGATGGTGGTTGTGATTGGAATGAACTGGAATTACAAATTTTGGGCGACTTAGGTATTGCGATGAATGTTGAGATTTACGACAATGGAGTTTGGTCACCAAGAAATTCTAGTTTTTGTACTCATAATCCACCATTGAATGGAACATTACTGTTTATTCCCGGTGCATTGCTTGAGCAAGTTAGTCCGGACTTGAAAGAGGTAACTTCTGGAAATAACATCGATCAAGATAAATACAATCGTCTGATTGAGAGAAGATTGATGCCACTGCTTTATTATGCCAATGAAAAAGCAAAGCAAGAAAATGTGCGTGCCTTAATTACATGTCCTGCTGTAGGATGCGGCGCATTTGCAGGCCGATTTCGTGGACAAATGGGAGAACATTTGAATCAAGCATTGCAGTACATTTTGACAAAACATGCTCACAATTTCGATAATATCGCTTGCGTATTCTTCGGGCCTCACAGTGAATGTTCAAATGAATCGCATCAATTTGAAAACGTCAAATATCGCATACGGCCTGAGCTACAAAATCCCAATAAGTCGCAACTGTGTAATCCCAAACAATACGAAGAATCTGGAGATAATTTTTCGAACTGCAAATTGTTTAAAATCGTTGCTTGGGACCATTTATCGTTTCCGGGAAATTTATATTTTGTAGGGTCTAGAAACACTGACGATGGCGTTTCTGCAGCGGCCACGAACTCGATGCAAATCATAACAGGAATCAAAGGAAGATATGATAGAGGCCATTATTTACCTCCCGAAGGGTATGACGATTGGGAACAGGTTGTGGAGAAAAATAAAATTACTTTGCTAGCAAGAAATAACGTGAAAATTATAACTGCAAATGGATCATTGATTGATTTAAAAGTTTGAATTTATTTTGATTTTTTTTACTTAAAAATAAATATTGGAAATTATAAAGGGTGTTTTTTACTGATAGAACTATTTTTATTTTGATCACGAACATCGCTCTATTTGGTATATACAAATTGTACATTTATGATTTAAAAATAATTTTGGTTAATGGTCTCCACAACTACATTTTACACAGACCAGTAATTTAACCAAAAGTGGACTTCGTCAAAAAAGATGATTATTCGCTATATTTCCGTATCATTTTGGAGCTTCTGCAGAGCCCAACCGACGAATTGTGCGCCGCCTTGGATGGTTATGCCTTCAGTTCTTGCACCAACTGCACTTTAACATATGTATGGAAAATCTTTGCACCAAATTCAGACGTTTATTGCGCTACATAAACAAAATCAAAAATATCAACCAATGCACACAGGAGACGTAACGGGACTCCTGCTCTACTGTCAAACACAAACCATTCAATTATATTCATTCGCGATGGCGTACAAATTGGATTTACGAAAAAGTCTCTCAAATGGTTTTGGCAAGCTAAGCTCAAAACAAATTGTGCGTGTGTCTAAAGATGAACGAATCTGTCTTCGAACCATGTATCCTGTTTCATAGACTTGATATGAATGTAAAGATTCTGGAAAAAGCAAAAAGTACGGTCGTATTCCCAATTTAAACGATCAAACCCTTCAAAATTGTCATCAAGTACCGAAAACCGGGTTGGTCAAGCAAAAATTCATTTTTGGTGATTCTTATGGTTATAAGCCTTCAGACCAAGATCTTTCCGCAAAATCCCGGATAAATACCAACTTCTTGTGCACGGCGTCGATCTGATAAATTACGGTTCTTTTACTAGTCATATTTTTATTTATTTCACTTAAACATTTTATGTGTTACATCTTGTGTAATAACTAGCAAACTGGTAAGTTTTTCGATTATTTTTGCTGTTTATAATCGTAGTCCTGCCGATAATTCAATGGTGGTGCTATTAATATATGGATTTAGTATAATCGCCTGTACGAGGTAAGCAAATTCATCTGCATCACCGAACCGGCGTGGGTTAGTTAAACTATCAGTGCAAATTGACTCTTTCAGAAGTTCTGAATAATTTTCGATCATTGGAGTTTCTATGAAAGACGGTGCGATTGTGACAACACGAATACCGTCGGTACCAAGATCGATTGCTAATGGTTTTGTCATACTGTGAATGGCTCCACATGCGGCTGAGTTTGTCACGTTGCCAAATGATCCATTGAATGCATCCCCACCTGAAGTATTGACGATGACACCACGAATACCATCATCATCTGGCCGATTTTTAACAAATAACTTTGCAGTTAATCGAATCACATTGATTGTCCCCAGCACGTTTGTCTACAAAAACATCCGAATAAAATATGAACCGCAAGAAAACTAAACTTTATTTAACATACCATTAAGACGTCTTTGAAGTTATTTAAATCTGCCGAACGTGCCGAACTGTGTTCGTAGATAGTTTCCGTACTGAATATTCCAGCACAATTAACCAGTACATCAAGTTTGCCATATTTTTTTGAAATTTCATCTACGAGATTTAGAATATCTTTCTCCGATGTTACATCAGCCGGAATGAACTGTACATTTTCACCAATTTCTTTAGCTACCTCTTCACCTTTTGATGTTGGCAAATCGCAACTTATCACTTGTGCACCTTTATTTGCGAATCGATTGACTGTAGCGCGGCCCAGACCAGACGCTCCACCAGTTACCAACGTTACAAGATTCTAAAAGAAAATAAAATATTTTTTTCAAATATTTTTTATAGCTTGAATGAGATCGATATCTGAACACACCTTGAACATTTTTGATTTGAATTTGTCAAAACTTTCGCCAAAAGTATGACGGTTTATTTCTTTGCGTGATGAAATAATTTAATGAAATGAGTTAACCTTAAATTTCAGCATTTATTGGCATTTGACAGCATACATTTTAGTACATTTTAGAGTTTAGTACATCTGTCAAAATGTTTCATTTGGATTTCATATGAATTTATCTGTCAACATAGTTGTTTTTAAAATCAAATGTGTTGCATACAAATGTTATAAAACCAAAACGTTAAAACGATATAAATTTCATTTGTGGAAATTGTGTATTCAACCATCAACATGGAAATCGAAGATCGGAATTTGGTTGGTGTGGAGTACCCAGGACGCGTTGAAAATGCCGACAATATGGTCAAAACGTTAGGTGGTCTCACAAACATCTCAAAAGTTGTAAGTTTTCTCATTGCATTCAACTCTTAAAAATCGTATCAACATCATTCTGTTAAAAATGAATATTTTTAATAGATATGTAATATGGACAAAAAGCGATTGGATTTGACATTTCGTCCAGATGATGTGTTTGCAAAACCAATTTATGGTGACTTGAAACCAGCCTCTGGACTCTTACTAAAGGTAGTTTATCGTCGTCGAAGACGTGACATTCCTGGTCCGAGCACCGAAGAAGAAGAAACCAATGACGAACCAAAGATCGATGTTATCGGTGTCATTCGATCGATGTTCAAATTCGATGGTAGGTGTTTAATCCCCCAAAAAATTATAATGCTAAAAATTTCGTCCTTTTCACCGTTTCTCATAAGGTTTATGCGATTATCAATATTTACCGATTGGAACGAATCTGGCAACGCACAAAGCTGAATTTATTTATGATGATATTATGCCCAATGGACTTCTATCACCAGATTGGCTAACGTAAATTCAATTTATTGTTTTTCTTCATTTATAGTCTTTCTCTATAGTAAAATTATTTTGTTTTGAATTTACAGTGATGATGCGAACAATGACATTCCATATTTTTTCCCACCGCCATCTTTCACTCGTGTTGATACACCACAGGATAGTTTCTTCAAAAAGGATCGTTCAAAAGGGTTGAATAAAGACCAATCATCGCCATTTGAATCGGCTGAATCGACAATTATTGGAATGTCACGAACGCGTCGTTTTAAGCACGCATGTTATATACCATTTAGTCTGACGAATCCAATACCGGAAAAAGCACAATTCCAAGCATTGAAAATGCTGAAATTCAAATTCATCACCAACGAACAATTTAATATGATAAAAGAGTATTTGGATCGTCAACCGATTTGGTTGCGTAGCTCCTTGGCTTATGAAACGAAAATTCCACGACAAAAACTGAAAATCATTCTGCCATCATTGGCGTATTATTTTACAACGGGACCTTGGCGATTGATGTGGGTACGCTTTGGATACGATCCACGCAAAGATTTCACCAGCCGATACTATCAAACTCTGGACTATCGAATCCGATCAAATACACTCAAAGAAAAGGTACTAAAAAATTATATATTTTCTGAGTCTTGTAATATTGCCATTTCTTAAATGATTTTTTATGCCATTTTTTCTCTCGTCAGATTGCACGCAGCCGAAAAACCAAAACAGAACCAGAGAACATATACCCGTACTTTGAAGTCGATCGTCTACCTGAAACAAGACAATCATTTTATCGAGTAAGATTGATTTTTTTTTTTCATTTTGCATTTTGATCAATATGGCAATTTTAACATTGAAAAATTCGATTTCAGTACTGTGATGTACATGTGCCGAAGATACAAGAAATGTTGGACAAAATACCGACACCACTATCAGGTGCGATATGCAATGAGAAAACTGGCTGGTTACCACCGAATTTTGACGATAACTGCCGTGAAATTCTCACCGAAACCATTAACGAACTATTGGAAATGCAGCCGGCTGATTTTGATCCAAATCAATTGGCGTCAACGTCTCGGGCGGCTTTAGCACAAAGTGCTGAACAAGCAGAAAATGAATGGGAATATGGGGTAAGTTGCACATTGATTTATCAATGTCTATAGACATTATCTAGCAAACAATATATTGTATATATATTTTTGAAATTCCCAATAAATTAATTTATTTGTTTTTTCCCCGGTTTCTCTTTAGGACGACGAAGAAGGTTATGATGACGAGGAGCGAGATCAAACATATTTGGATTATGAAGATGAAGAATAATCGATGCATATAAATTACGACATATTGATACAAAAATATACTTCAAAAAATTGCTTTATATTAACGACATAACAATGCCTGTTTTTATTCATTTCTGTTTGATTTTGGTTCATCTTTAAATCAGAATTTTTCACATCCGATTTCACTAACAATTTCATGCCATCGCTATTGAATTGGTTGGCTGAATAGGTCATGACTTCGTCTCCGATATCAGTTTTCAAAAGTATTATTTATAGGGTTTGAAACCGAGTTTAGTAGGCATTTTTATTCACAATAACGAATATTGTAATAATCGCCAAAACGATTTATCATTTAATTATCTTTTTTGCAACCTATTTGCATTAAGGTTTATAAAGTATGTTTTTACAGACTTCGCAAAAACCAAAACCGCAAAAATCAAAAACACAGAAAATAATATTAAATTATAAGATATCTACGAACACAGCCAACAGCCGAAGTTTTTTGTTGTATTGGTTCTACGCTATCAAATGGGTACATGAATGGGTATAAAAATTCCGCACAAATATGCGCGAGTAGTTTTCTCTTGGTGCTATCGGAAAGGGAAACACTTTGCTCACGAACAAAAAATTATTGCGACTCACTTTAATTGTGTATTAAATTCGTTTATTACTTATACTCATTTTTGGCGAAATAAAAAATATACTCGCAAGGAATTTGCTGTGCGTCAAACAAAAATTCTTTCGAATTTCTAATTCGTTCGCCTGAGAATAATTATAATTTTTTATTATAATCGTTATTCATTCAAAATGTTTACAAATATAATCAACATATTAGTTGTGACTTTATTAAAATTTAATATGTTCTATAAAATGGTAAAAAATAACAACAATTTAGCATTTGGTTTTCAGTTAATTTTACATTTTTTCATCGATATAAAACCAATATGAAGAACTTCAATGACTGAGTATTCATTTGAAACAACAACTGGTTTTTTATTCAAATTATAATATGAAAAATGTCAAGGTTGTTACTCTATTACAGCAAATTTACCAGACAAACCGAACACGCATATTTTCTTTGACTAAAGTGTATGATAAGATCATGAAAACTTCCGAAAGAAAAGTCAACAGAAGTGATAAACAATTCAAAGTAATATCTCGCCAAAATTTGGTATGAACTATGTAAAATAGAGTTAGACAAAAAATATATAAAAACGATCAGATTTTTCCAGTATAATATTGAATTGAAATATTTTTATTGAAAGCTTGAGAAGAAACACAAAGTTTTGACGGGGCCAAATCATGTTTACTTATTTTGTGCTTAATTATCATCCATTCCATCCCGTTTGCTGTTTACTACTAATGTCTGTTTTCGGAAAATAAATTGTTCATTTGAAAATCCAACGCCAAAAATTATGAGATTAGTAATATTACCCAAGCATTCTCAATATTTCTGACAATCGATCACTGATGAAATTCAAAAAAAAATTATACGAATATATTGAAATTTCTCGTTAAAATAATTTATGTATGTTAAATATTGAAAGGTTATCTTACTTTGCTTGCTTCAACTCTTCGGAACTGTTGGCCGCAATCATGAAATTATTCAAATAATGTCAATTATAAAAAATCAGAAATGAACGAAAATATAGAAATAACCATAAAATTTCAGAATATGGTCGTGATATGAGATATGATAGAAAAACTTTCAAGCTAGTTGATGCACAAATTTTCTTGTGAACAAAGAAACGAACTAACATCATTGAATAAGTACTCGATAACATATTGAACTAATTTTGTAATTTAATTAAAATTAAAAAAATGCGATATACTTACAATGTGCCCAGCATCTGGTTTCTAAAATATGTTTGCATTTTAATTAGTGAAAGTGTTTTGATTTACATCAATTTCATTTCATTAATTCAATAAACATACACTTTTTTAGCCTCTGCTTCAACTTTTGCTTTATCTGAATGTGGTATGTGACTTGTAATAAGTACTTCAATTCTATAATAATAATTAATTTAATCAATTTATTCTGTGCGATAAATGTTTTTAAATACATACGCGTGATTCAAATTTTTTACAGCATCATTGTAAATTTCATTGTAAAGATCTCTGGGAGTTTTCATTGCATCTATGGGCCTTTGAAAAACATAAGAAGAAATTTCTGAATATATTTTAACCGATTTTAACCAAAAAATATATAATTCATTGAAAATTATGTAGTCAGATAACGTTATCATCATTATGTTACGAAGAGAAACTGAACTCAATAAATATCACAAGATCGAAATGTAACAAATGTATCTGAAAAATTTATTTATTGAAGATATCTTTATCTGACGGTATGCCGGAGTTATAATTGTGCGCAATTCATTATACTAATTTTGTTTCCCAATGATCTTGTTTTCATCTTATAGATCTTTTGAATTGTATTGTATACTTACAAGTTGACGATTAATAAACCGATCAGAACAACTACCAACAAATTGCGAGAAAACACCATTTTTCTTGTGTTTGAAATAAGTTTCAGAGATTAATGCTCAAAATGAACTGACTTTATTCTGTCTTGGCTCCATATTTATACTAATTTTTCTACAGTTTTACCTTAAATTGAAAAAAAAAAAAACACGAAATGTGGTGAAAAAAATGTTAGAATAAAAAGAATTTATACAATAAGAATTTATTTCATAAATTAAAGCGAGAATTCATTCCATTTTAATTGAAGATTGACTAATTGGATATGGGTACAGTCGGATTGCCTCCCTCAAAATCGTCCCTCTTACGCTCGCCGGCAGAAAATGAGAAAAATTTGAGAATAATATGAGAAAAGTAAGGAAAACCTCCTTGTCGAAGTTCACATTAGATATTATGTAATTTTGATGAACTTTTCTGCTCTTCGATGTTATTTCGGAAGCACAAAACCCCCTCATATGTTTTCCACCATGCCTATATGTGTATAAAATATCATTGTTATATATTTTGAAATGCGTAAATTAATTAAAACAATCTCCAGTTTTTATATTATGTTTTGCAAAACAACAACATTTCATGAAAAATTACATCTTTACAATACAGTAAATATACGTAAGATGAATTTTTGCATATCATCTCAGAATAAAACATATTATACTTTCGAACACTGTTTTTTGTAGAGAAACGTCAGGTGAGATGATGACTTTACAAAGTCGAGCACGTTTATATTCTTTAGCCAAATAATTTGGCCCAAATTTGTGTATGTCAAACAATAATGCCAAAAATAATGTCAACAGACGTCATGCCAAATGATGATAAACAAACTATGGAAATACGTTTCGCTATGTAAACAGTTGACTATGAAAAACGGAGTACCTGAAAGAATAATTATCTTCTAAACTTGAATTGGACCAAGAATCAAAATTGTTCAAAATGTTGGTTATAAATGCTATTTATTTCTTGAAAATGTTGTTTGACAAGCGAAATATATGGTTTTTCGGTTATCATTTATATATGTTTAAAAAAATCGATATGAATAATATCCAATTTTGTTTTCGTTTTCTCATAAAAACGACCAATAAAAAAACATTTTTTTTCTTCTTACAACGTTCATTGGAATTACAAAAAAGGCAACTGATTGTTTTTATTTTCATTCGGTATATGGACCGAGTGTAAAAAATATCGTAAAAAGTGAAGAAACCAAAAAAAAAAAAGAAAACTAAACCTAAGCACACTTAAATATTTTCATTCATTTTGCCGCTTAACTAATTAAGACCATACAATTTTGTCGCTTTACAATATTAAGGTAAAAGTCATTACAAACTAAATCACTTTTTATTCATAAAATTATCAAATAGTTTCTTGATGCTGGAATTTGTGATTATTTTCCCGGATCATCTTACACTAAATTTATGGGTTTGTATTTTGTTATTAATGCTATTATACGTTTATCTGCATTCTCAAACTGGTACTCATTTATTACAACACATTAGAATTTCAATTATTATTGGAATTTCACATTGGAGTTGAAAAATTATACGGAAATTCAGATGTTTATTATATCATTATTATATCTGTATCGTGTTGTAAACTCTAATGTCGATTCAATTAGATTGAATAAAGTCGTTCAGATAATAAGCGTCGATTTTTCTACTCATACAACTTTAAGATTTTACAAATCGATTGTTTGTTCGGAGCAAAGTTCAAGTTGAAGTGATGCATAATATGTGGAAACAAACATTTTAGATCCAGTTTTTTTTTAATCTGACAGCTTATTATCTGAACAAGTGGCTGTGTCATTTTGTTAATATGAATGATACGCTTAGAGTACACGTTCTCCAATTGATGGCAAACGTTTAATGAGCAACGATGCACTTTTGTTGTTATTCAAGTTGTTTAAGCTATTATTATTGCTGCCGTCCGATAGGATTTTATTTTCTTTGTCTGAATCGGCTTGATTGTCATCGTTTAGCAAAAGTTCTTTCGTTAATTGTCGTTGAATAGCTGGCATTCCGTTATTTAATGCATGAGCTGGCGCTGCATCTGGTACAATGCGACGCAAGAATCCCGAAGCACAACCCCATGGGAAAATCCTATTTGCAAGGAAATTAATGGAAATATTAAGGCGTATTTAATTGAGGAGCGGCTTCGAAGTAAACCGGTTAAACTACTTACCACTTAACGCAAAGCATCAGTTGAAGGTAACGCGGAATGATGGCGAGCTTTTCCTTTCGTTGAATGGCGGAAACGACACGATCGGCCACGTCGTCCGATGTCAATGTTGGTACCCATCTAAAGATGAATGAATATAGTGTTTTCATTTCAATCCACTTTTGTTTCAAAATTTTAATTCGATGTTTCAATGTGAGCTTTTCGGACGGAAAAGAAAAAAAACTTACCTTGAGTTAACATCTTCAAACATGCCAGTCGATTGAATAAAGTAAGGACAAATGCAAGTGGTTTGAACTTGGCTTCCAAGCAACTCCAATTCTAAACGTAAAGCTTCATCAAAACCGACAGCAGCAAATTTACTTGAACAGTAGTCAATCAACTTAGCAATACCAACGTGGCCGGCGAGCGAAGCAATTGTAACAATGTGTCCTAAAAAAATTGGAATAAAATTTGAAGAAATGGTTAAAAATGTCAATAAATGGAAGAACTAAACAAATAAACCAAATTTGAAAGAAAAAATATTATTTAATTCAAAGCAATTAATCATTGATTACCGTGGTCTTTTTCAAGCATGGCTGGAAGGAATGTTTTTGTTGTCCAGAAATGTGCCAACACATTTACGTTAAACGACCGTTCAATCAGATGATCTGGCGTATCCAACAGTGCACGACCCGAAACAACACCAGCATTGTTTATAAGCATTGTGATCTGTTAATTAAAATTTGATGAAATTTTTAATAACAATGTAGTATATAAACCAAACACATGGGCTAACAACAAAAATTTAATCATATTTTCTCAATTTTTTTTTCGCTGTCAGTTAATTCTCACATAACGTGTACAATAATCCCTAGCATTTCAATAATAATATGGTTATTATTACTTGATCGAACAAAATTTCATTCTCTTCCTGTCGATGCTCAAGCTAATAACAACCTTTCGCACATCTGTACATTTTTCATTCACCATTTAGGAAACAAGTTTTCGATAAAAAGCATTAATTACATCCATTGCAGTTCTTTTCGTTTTATTTCTGCTTAGTATCATGTCTATTCAGTCATTGTGTCCAAAAAAATGCGTTTTTCATGTAAAAATGTCGGAAATGGCAAGAATTGTCGTTAATTTTCAACTCAAGTATGCATTCATTTTTCAACCAAAATCAAGTGTGTATATTTTATGACGAATTAAGTCTATGATGTTCTCGCCAAACATTCGGAACGGCATCGAACACTTTAATTAAATGCAAACAACATAATTACTTTTATTTCTTTTCATATTTACTCTGTGCAATACCATCTCGTACAAAAAACTACAAAAAAATCAGGAATAGGCATTCGTTACTATTCTTTTGTTTGTATGTACGACTATAAATTGCAGTCAAATACAGTCAATGCGTTCAATGCACTCTCAAGGCTTATTCATTCACAGCCCACATTTGTTTTGAGCATTCCAATCGAACGAAGAAAAAATGACGAGCACATCGACTCCCGTAATGCAAACATTACCTCCACCACACTTTCATAATTCAATTTATAAGCAATTTAATACAAACAACTTCAATTCATGTGCCTGCTATTGCCAACCAATCAATTTTACCACATTCGAGAAAAAAAAACGTTGTAATTTTCGTGCAAATAGTATAAAAGCTATAAAACATATGACTCTCGATTCGTATGTCAATATATCATGAAACTAACTGTTAGCAATCGGCATTGTTACCGGTTTTCACATGTGCGAATTGTCAATAACGTCTTTGTGCTGCATTGCACTCCGGCTTTATCTACCCAATTAAATATATCTTTAATGAAAATCACAAGTGACCAGTTCCTTGTTCGATGATATGTAAAAAAGGAGATAAACATTTTTAATCTTTACACGGAAACCGTAAGGATTCAAGATTTTTCACGAATTAAGGGCTCTTCAATTCGACTGGAATAAATGAGTGAAACCAAAAACATGCATTTTGAATTAACTCGTTTTTCGGTCGAAAAGTAAACGGTTACGCTTTAAAGAAGTCAATCATATGAAACGAGTTCAAGTTTCAACGTTGTTTCATGTTTCTCTCAAGGTGTCAAACTCAACCACCTGTAATTATTATTTGTTTATTTTATTTACATTATTATCTATATAATTTCAATTTCGCGTGCAATGCACCGCGAAACCGTCTTAGAACCTCTGAATTCCAAGAAACGGAGGGGGGGGGGTACAAAAACAGTAGCGACAAGTTTGTTGCAATCAACAGCGATGATGACTTTTAAGCGATCTTGACTAATTGGGCTATTTTAAAATCATTAACTTTGTACCTAATTTTCATCATTATTTTTTTTTCTTTCTCACCATATTTTAATTACAAAAGTTTTATTGGCGTCTTCCATTGTTCAAGCTTGTTGTAATTTCATTTTAAATTGGAGTTTTTTAATTGCTGATACACAGGTTTTTCTGCTGCAATGGTATTCATTCCGCACTTGCCAAATTCATATTTGCGCAAATATGAAATCTGTTTTTCAGTAATAAAAGATGTTCCATTCGGTAGATGAAGTAAAATTAATAAAATTGCATAAGGAACAAATTTCCCGCCTGTAACTATTAACCGCATATAATTGATCTCATCATGAAACATACATGATGTATGATTGAAAATTGTAATATGCAACATTGCAATTTCATGAGTGACTTTTTGATGAAACCACACACATGCTCATGAAGTGTGCAATTTTATAAATTTTTAAACACGTTTTTGCCTTTTTCTCCGAATAAAACGACGAAATTCTCTAATTTGCGGATGATTGTTGCGTCGTGCTTATTTGCAAGCAATTACCAAGTCACGTTGATAATTGGTCTCAACAAAGATGCCAATCGTCTATACCTCGAAATGACAATGAAAACAGCGCCAAACACTGTGCGTTTTAATGGAAGATTTTAACAAACATGTTGAAAAAAAAAATACAGATCCGGCTATTTGTTTATGTTTTTTAGTGTGTACGTTTTGATTCTGAGCGCGATTTTTGCGTCAATGATTCCGCATTTTTCAATGATCGTTGTTCGCACATAGAAAACAAATGCGTTCAAATTATGCGGAAGCGACGAATAAGACGATGACAACGATGATTCACAACATACCTGAAGATACTCAACAGGTTGTTATATTCACTTTCCCTACCTCGTTTAGTGTATATATGGCTTTGTGTGAGTTCTCAAATAACTTAACATCGAGTTTCTACTTGTAGTACTACATGTTCAGTAAACATTTGTACCCACTTGAAAAACTTATGGCGATGAATGGTATTCATATAGCAAAATATTTACATAACCAGTTGATCTAATAGCATCGATTCTAAGATCCCAATTTTGGCAGTAGCTTCGAGCGATAGTTTTGGTAACTGTTTGTAAATTTGTCTACATTTTTGACCGTTGATACACACACACATTCTTCGATTAAATATGACTAAAAAAAATCGACGTATAAAAAATAGAATTTGTCTATGGTGAAGAAGTTTTGAAAAAAAGTAACCAAAAATAGAATTGACTTTTCAAATATTGCCCAATTTTGAGTCTATAATAAAGAAAATAACGAAAAAAACATGTTTGAAAATTGAGAAAACTTACATCACCAACATCGCGGCGTATGGCATCAGCTGCTTTATACACTTCTTCTTTCTTTGAAATATCGACCTTGTAACCAACACAAGTGCCACCGTTAGCTCGAATCATCTCAACAGTTTCATCAATACCTATAACGAAAATAGTAATAAAAAAAACCATATAAAAAGAGATTATAAATTACGTATTAAACCGCGTTTGTATACAAAAGTTCAAGTTTTTTCTTCTCATGTTCAAACGGAAATATCAAAATTTGAATTGATCGATTATGAAATGTAACCATCTTCATGCGTTTTCAAAAACACACCTGAAGTCGCACAACAAATTACTACCGCAATTAACACGAAACTTCTAATAAAATTCAAACAAATTAGATGCTAATTAATCATTTTGAAAGCAATTGAAGATCATCACAAGAGTCGTTAATTAGAAATAATGTACCAAATTATAAGCACGTACTAAATTAAATTTCATGCAAGAAAACGCAAAAAAAATACGAAAATGAAGTATAGTTCAGTATGCCAAACAATGAACATAGCGAACAAAAAACTCCTATACACGCGATAAAAAGTCAAAGTGTATTGCTGTGTCATGGCAGTATTTTGACGCCAGTAACGCTTTATGATTCACTGATCATAACTATGATTAGCCCGTTTTCAATTGCTTTGAATTATGCATAACGGAATAGTCCGCAGCAAAAAAAGTCGATCAAGTGTATCAATAAAAAAGAGAAGACAACGCACAACGAACACTTTCAGTGAATTATGCGATTCTTTTTTAGCTGTTAATTATATAACATATATTTTGATTTATATAAGTCACAAACAAAGATCAAGTGTATGGTTTATGTGGTTTCCGTTTTTAAGAGAATCGCAATGCGTTCAAATAAAAATAGGTTGTGTTCCATTAAAATCGTTTTGTTTTTTAGTTCATTAAACGATCTTTTCTTTCTTTCTCTCTCTCTCTCTCTCTCTCTCTCTCTCTCAAACCACGATGCAAATGAATTTCTACGTGTAATTCTGTCATTGTTGTTTGGTGTCGATGTGAACAGCCAAAAACAAGATTCAGCGGCTGCTTTAAATAAAAATACTGAAAGTTGAACAAAACGTAAATGAGACCTTGATTTTCACTTTCATTTATCTCTTCATTTTTTTTTTTTTGTTTAAATTACTGTCGAACATTCAGCTAATTGTCGCATTTTTTTCCGTCAATTTAAAAACGTAAAAGCGATTGCCGGGAGCGTTTATGCAGAATAATATACATTCACTTTCGGCGAAAAGAATGAAAGACTTGAATGCCCCTTATTTCGTTCGTAAATGGAATCCCAAAATGTGTGTCGCTTGCACGCACATTGTGGTAAGAGCAGGTAAGAGTTCAGCAGCACAATAAACATACCGTGTGCCGTATGATTTTGTTTATTTGAACAAGTGCTTTTTTTTAGCAGTACATTCGATTTATCTGCTCGCCCGTTCGGCGCGGCAAAATAGAAATGAGGTTCGTTGCAACTTCCAATCGAATATTATGCGAATAATTTAAAATTAACCTTGTGCTTGTTTTAGTTTTTTTTTCTTCTTTGTATTCAATCGATTTCTCGATCGTTTGCTTCTCATCATGTGCGCTCGCTTCGATTAATATGAGCAGCATTGTTATAGAGATACATCAAGTGTTATGGAAGTACCTCTATTTTCAGCTATGTATAAAATCCAACGAAAAGCAGATAAATAATAATAACAATAAAAGTGAAACAACTGCGAAAAAAAGAGAAGCTGATTGAGGCTTTGCGATATGCGCACGATTCGCGGTCGAAATTACGACGGAATTATGTGATTGTAATGTAGCCGAAGAAGTCTAGCCATAGCCGTTGTTATTGTTTAATAATAATCAGACAATATATTAAGCTGCCGTCATCTGGATATTTCAGCTCATCTGGATGCCGTCAGCAGATGATACAAAGTGAAAACAATAGAAGTGATTGTTATAGGTATATAAGCTTGTTATATACTGGTATTACTATAACAATCACTTCTATTGTTTTCACTACGCATCATCTGCTGACGGCATCCAGATGAGCTAAAATATCCAGATGACGGCAGCTAAATATATTGTCTGATAATAATACAAACTTATTATGCATTGTGTAAGTGGCACGCTTTTTTTTCTTTCTCTGTCGAGTACGTAACACACATACGAAAGTTTCATAGCCAAAATTATTGATACCTCAATTGATATGAATGACGCCAGAGAGAAAGAGAGTGAATGAGAAAACAAAAGTGAACGTGAACACAAGACAAGTACTTGAAGAAAGAAGTCGACTGGTAGACGCACGTTCCGAAGAAGAAAAAATATTCTGAATTTTATATTTTGTTCGCATCATTTGTCAAGAAGCGAATTCTTGGTACCAAAATAATATCACAATTCATCAAGCGGACATAATTAGCACATTCAATGAATAACTTGTTTAATTTTTGACTTGAAGTAATTTTGTGGCATATTGAAAACAATTATATACGTTGTGCGCGTGGCTTAGCGCAAAATTAACGACGAGGAGGACAGATAAAAGAAATTATTCATAAACTTTTATTATTTATCGTCTTGATGTGTACATTTGACCGTTTTATTTTTGCGAACAACATTTTATGGTTTTGTTTACATTTTTGTGACCCGACACTTTTGAATAAATTGGCATTGCAATACCATTCATAACTCATCAATAAAACAAATTTATTGATTGTTTCGATCATTTTTATCACGTTCAATCCGGCGACCGGTAGATATATTCATTTCATTAATGTGCCACGTGGATGTGCCATGAATTTTGATTGTCTTTCGATCATCAGCCTACTGCTGTCATACTTTTATGAACACACTTCTCTTTTTTTCTCGTAATATAACAAAAGAATAATTCAAAAACAATGACAAGCCTAAAGAAAACATGTTTTCTGTCCGATTCTACGTTATTGCGTTGGTATGTTTGTTTATGTCTCGTTGTGTGTGTGTGTGTTGAATGGCATATCTTCGGACAGCGTTTTATCTATGAATATTATCAGTGTGTGTTGACTTAAATAAAATTGTTTGCTGCAAGACCACTTACCTTCTTGTTTGATGTCCCAAATGACGATGTCAACGCCTAATTTTGAGAGTCTTAATGAGATCAATCGTCCAAGACCACCGCCGCCACCAGTTACAAGAGCCAGTTCACCTTGTAACTTCTGCTCGGGAAAACCAATCACTCTGTAGAATAAATCCTGCACAAAAACGAATCAAACGGTAAAATTAAATGGTCATAGCAAAACGGCAAGAAAATCATTCATTTAAAGTCAATGAACATAAATGGTCGGTCTTAAAGATGTGTATGTGTTTGGTTAAAGATAAGACAAAACCTCGAGTCATACTTTAAACACCTTGTTTGAAAAGTTCAATGCAGTTTGTAATAAAACACAATTTTTTTTTATTCGCTTCGTCAGTTTTTATATGTCAAATGATCTATTCAGCTCGCGATTTTTCAAATATGAATATTATTATAAATTTAATTTTTCCGCTATGAATGTGTTACAAATCCATGATCTTCGGTCCAAGATTGTCTGTTATGTATGCGAGTGAATAAATTTAAACAAAAGGTCAATCGAAATTTTGGAGCATTTGTTCATTTTGGTTTGAGTTTCGGTCGCTTAGATTAGTGTGATTAAAAAACGAATTTTCAACACAATTTTTCAACATTTCATGCCTAATTTAGAGGTCTTTATCTTGGCTAATAATGATACGAAACAATATCGGTGAACGTTCAAGGGAATTAACAAATGGCTCAACAGCATCCACAAAAAATAGATTTAACGATTTATGATTAAGGTATGCCATAATTTGAAGCATTTACCCAAAAAACATCGTCGAAATAAATCAGTAGCCAAGCTATGTGACATTGAAATTCTTTGTGGCAGCTTTTTGTTGCGGCCATTAATTATTGCCACATGATAAAATGATGCGGTCGATACAAAAATCAATTGAATTCTCTTTGTTCTTATATCACTTCAAAATATAGAATTCCTCATTCTCTAAAATTAGTTTTACAATGATTGATCTTTGAATCGCAGCGTGTAATGGCCGATGATGAAATCAATATTTCTTTGTGTACTCTAACAGTGTTAAACGTCGTTTTCTTTAATTACCTATTGATAAAATCAAACAATATGTTTTTCAACAGCAGAATATCCATATTTAAATGGCATCTAAAGTCAAATACAAACAACCAATGTTGGCCCAATAGGTATTTAGTTTGACTGGCTTGTCATGGTAGTCTTTCACTGACGCACAGAATAAATTAAAATGTATCTTTTGTACTCGTTTTGAACCTTGTCTCATATGGCTGGTGTTGTAGAGAAAAGATGAAAACAGATTTTAAAAAAACTCGACTGTTTGCCGATTCGTATTTTTGGCTGAATGAAACAGAAAAAAGCAAAACAAACGATACAACAAACACACATGAAACGTAAATACATTTTGACAGGAAACGATGTGCAAAAATTAGTCTACGGAAAATATTATTGACATTTCTGATGGATTTAAAGTGAAAGACTGGTATATTTGTTTGTCTTTTTGAATGCACATATGTGTTTTTTTTATCAAATAAATAGAAATTCAAATTTTTTTTTATTTAAAGACCGTTCAAACCAGATAAGATTATCTACTCTTTGAATCTATGTTTGTGAATTTCAAATGAACAACCGTTTTATTCGAGGAAATTTCGCGAAATATGGGAAGAGAGAGAGGATAGATGGATGGATAGAGAGAAGCAAGACGTCAGTGCGAGTGACCGCATACCGATGAATTTTAAATGATTGCAAAGTGATTAAAATCGCAACGATTTTCACATCGCACAAACTCGCTACCATATAATTTTCTATGCTCATTTCATTACATCATATGCATGTATGTCTTAATCGATGACGATGACGGCGACGACAACAACATCAAAAATGGTGATTAAAGTGTCCGTCAGTTTTATGCATCGCAACAGAGAGAAAAATATGTTGCAATTGAATTGGTTGCGCAAATCATGCTGTATTCATCTGTTTCACGTGAATTTTATTACGATATTGATTTAACATTCATTCAATCGTCATCAAAACCAATTGAGCATCAAGTATCTTCGAGACCATTCGAACGATGTAGAAAACCCGTTTCAAATCGACTGACGAAACTAACGTTTTTCAGTGCAAAATTATCTAAACAAAAATTTACGATATTTTTGTAGTTTTCTATTTCATTCCATGCTTCGTCAAAATATTCTAAATTATTCAAGTGATTTCGGTCTAAAAATACACAGGCCTGGCATGATGGAGAGACACACTCGAAAAAAAAAACTGATTTCCAAACTTGTTTGCATTGAAACGAGAGAGACACTTCGAACAAAAAAGAGCTGTGTACATCTAAAGCTATGTCCCGTGGATGGGATTGACGTCGAAAGTTCTGAGATCATTTGTCGATTTTAAGAGCCAATCACAATTTTTTGTCATTCGCTTCCTTTGACGTAATATACATTATTTTTCGGTCATCGAATAAAGTTGAGAGACACAATACAGGAACCCAAATGGCATTGATTTCATACAGAGATGAAATAAAATCTGAAATTTATTAATTTATGATACTCACTTGGAAAATATATCCTATAGAAATGGCTAAGAACACAATCACATCCCAAATGGTTGAAATAATTGTAGTGATGATACTTTCTGTTGTTCCTGGTTGAACTTTTTGTGATGATGGTTCAGCTGCTGTTGGCACATTACCATTGCCAAGTGAAGCGTTTGGTGCATTTTCTGCTTCCATTTTTTTTTTGGTTTCTTTTTATTTTGAACTTGTTCACTAAAACAGTCACTATTATGGTTATTATGAAATTGAATTCACATAAAGAATTGGTTAATGGGTCACTTTGACACGTTAAAACGTGCCTCGTTGAGAATGTAAATATCGATGCAAAATGACAAATTTTCACCAAAAATTCACTATTTGCACCCGTTAACTAGATTGAATGAAACGCACAATTTGAGTAAAGTTGTTTTTTGTTTGTTTCTCTTTGCAGTGTTGAATATATCGCTTTCACGTTTATTAAACTCACACAGTGTTTTTTGCTTTGTTGTTGGTTTGGCAAAATGTTGAATGAATATAACCGTTTAATTTTATTTCAATAGCTGTCGCACGATGTCTGTACTCGCATTGCTAAGATACAGTGGTATTTATTTCTGCCGATTTTTTTTCTACCGACGAGTGGTGCGGTTATGCAATTCTAAAACAAAATAAAAACATAAAAGAGATTATTGTATTACTTGATCGTCACGAGCGGATGACAAAATTTTTATCATAAACCTGCAATAACGACACAGGGTTTATCATCAAAAACATTATTTGTTTGTAAATTGTTTTTGTTTAATTTCCTTTTTTTTTTGGCAAAACAATTGAGAGCGATTAATTGGTGAGATATGAAGTAAGAAAAACGAAACACGTATATGAAATCGGCGTCGTGTGTTGAAAACTGGAATTCTCTTTGAACAACGAAAGATAATAATAAAGTGTGTTTGGCGTATGCAAATAGACGATTGAGTTTTGGAGTACACATTTTGGTCAAAAGTTAAAAGCAGTTTAAAAAAATCATTAACCATTCAGAAGTAAGCCAAAAAGCACACATGCACGGTAATAATACAACATTTTATCTCTTATGTATTCAGTCTCTCATTCATTTGGTTACTTATTAAATTTCACTTTTAATATACACGCAAATCCGTTTTTTTTAAACTTTGGGTTTGCGATTGTCGCCATTATTGTACGCACCATGCCAATGGAATTGATGCGGCAATCGCAATGCAGTTGTTCTGGTTGGCATTATGTCGCCGTTTTACTTTCAATGGTACTTAACCATCTTTGCATGTTATATATCAAATGGGAAGCCGCTAATAGTATAACTTTGCTGACTGCATTTTTCTCTTTCAACCTTTCCAATTCGCCACCACGCTAAAACACACAAAAAACACCAACTATCGCGTACATATGAATTTTGCACAAACGCATGTGCCAATACGTGTGTTTCTACACTCTCATTGAAGCACTCTCAATTTTCTGCTTATAATAAATTTTAAAAGGCCGAAAAGAGAAAAAAAAATCGTTTTCATTTGTTCCGAAATTGTTTGGCAAACGAGAAATCAAGTACATAAAAAAAAATTCCAAACACATAAAATGCGCGTTGTTGGACGCGGTTCATAGAATCTAGCCGTTAATTTCTACGCGTTAGTTTTCACGCGCTTTGAACTGTGACAATTATACGCAAAACGCATTTTCCATTATTTACCAATGCGAAGGAAATTATTTTGTTTCGATAACTTTTTATTTTATATGTAAACTCAACGTAAATATGAAAAGCAACATTTCCGATTTTAAATAAACGTGATGAAAAACGTGAAAATCATTATATTATTACTTTAAACATTTTTTATATGATCAAATTGTGTTCATACAAATGTTATTCAAGCATTTGTTGGCAAATATTTTGATTATTTTTTATAAACAATTTTGCTCACATTTACTCGTAAATATTTTGGTTTTATTTACTAAGTATGTTTCATTTTATTTCGCTGCAAATGCAGTAGACAAACGATTGTGCAACGATTTGATTTATCTCTTTTATAATAGATGAACGAAAAATAAACTTCATTTAAATCGTTTGAAAAACAATGTTTTCGTTGCTTATTCGATGTGTTCGCTGAGTAAAAGGTGAACGATGAAAAATAAAAACGAACCTCAGAACAAACGATGCGAATGTTGTAAGCGAAAAATCAATTGTTGTATCTCTGGACACAAAATAATGTTGTTGTGTTGTTTTTTTTTTATTAAAATATTAAAAGACGAGAGTGAACCCGTACTGTGTGCGTTTCGACTGAAACGTATGCTCTGACTGAATGTCTTTGGTATGTTGGCTTGAGCAGCGAGGCACTCATTGTAACATTTTGCTCTTGTATTGGAATAAAATTGTTATACGACTAGAAGCACAACATCGAACAAGTAATAGCAGCGGCTGTAATACAACTACCGCCACTGCTGTCGCCGTCGTTGCTGCCGTCGTCGTCACCGATAACACACCATTTTTGTGTATGTGTCGTGAATGGGCCACAGACAGTGGATTGATTTCATGTCGCTGTTTGCTGGTTTGTGTATTATTATTATGATGACTTATCTTTCGAGTAGTTTTTTTTTGTCTCCCCGTCTTTCTCACTTTTGCTACAACTCAACCACAACCAATTTTTTTTCTGCGCTCGCTTCAGTCAGAAGCTTTTTTTCCTCTTTCTGCATTGAGACTTCTAGCCGCGATACAATCTGGTGTTTGGCCGATTCATTTCCGAAGCGACGGCGATGAATACATTGCACCACGCAAAATCACAGTAATTTATTCATATTAAATCAATCAATCGGTCAAAGTCTCGAGCTAAACATTTTGTTTTTCCGAATACAATTTTTTTTTTCATCGTTTACGATTTTTTAAAGTGCGTTTTGTTGCCAAGTCTGCGGCGTTTGCGTTTCGAGTGACATTTGCGTTTTGTCATCATTGTTAAATACGATGAAGTTAACAAACAAACCGTGTAATTACCGTTTATGCACAAGGTATAACGCACACCGTTCGTTTTTATTACGGGAATTCAAAAAATGTTCAACGGAACATATACGGCTGAAAAGTGGACCGAACCAATCTCTCTCTGTGTGTTAATTAAATTTTAAGACAACGTCATCGCTATCGATTATTTTTCCTTTTCGAAAGTCTTATCGCATGTGCAAAGAATGCATTCCGCTAACAATCGATTTTTTTATATTTTATACGAAGAACTTTAAAAAGGTCACAAATTGGATTTTGAAATACATCTATTTTTATCACATGTTCACATTCAATAAGATCGCAAAGTGTATCGCACCACAGATTTTACCTTTCAATCAGGTCGTGCTTATGACAGAGATAGAAACGTATTTTTTTTTCGTTCAGCAAAATTGTGCAATAAACTAAAATAATGCAATGAAGAGTGATAAAATGAAAACGTCAAGGACTACTGAATGTATATGAAGCAATTTATCCATGCTTCAAAAGACTCTCAGCTTAATTTTCAAATGTTTGTCAATTTTAATCGGATTCAAAAAAAAAAAAAACCAATCTCTGAATTATTTTGAAAAGTCAATAAAATCCACAAAAAATGAATAAAAAACTCTTACACAAGCAAGCTCCCGAAATTACTTCAACATTTGTTTTTATGCAATTGTTAGTTTGTTTACTGGATCAGAAAGTTTGAGTCTGTCACAATATACGGCAGATGACAATTTGAACAGCGCATGTCTGAATTTGGCGCGTTGGAAAGACAATTCATATGTGTTGTTGTTGTTGTCGTCATCGTGAAAATGCCGTTAGGTACGTTGGCATCTAAGTTTTTGAGGTGCATATTCCATGGAATCAGCCACACACAACTACATAACCAACAGCTGAGCAATTGTGTGTTGCCGGTGTGTCAGTATGTGTATAGCAAAAGAATGCCAAAGAGAAAACAAAGATTAAACACTTTTGATGCAAGCTGCAAAGCAAAAAAACACAAAAAATGCATAATATGAGACAATAATTCAAACTAAATCACTGATTCTTGCGAAAAGAAATGGCGTACGTGACCATTGACTTGATGCCCGTGATTGTGAATGTTCATTAGGACTCAAACTTTAATGATAACGTTGTCGTTGTCTCTATGCATTTATTGAACCTGTTTGTCCGGACATTGAGTTGAATCTTTATCTCAACATGCCTATCATTACCTTTTGTAGCTATGCAATATGTTTGTTTTTTGAACAAACTAACTTAACTTTAATTATATGGTAATTTAACGAAATGTTGTATAAAACCAGTCCATCCTATTTGGTGAATATTCGCGACATTCCAGTAGGAAATGAATTTTAATCACGTAATTTTCAATAGTGCCAGTGATTTATTATATATGCATGTCCTGTATGTTGCTGTGTTCAAAGTTCGCACAAAACGTAGAACAATCAACTTAACACACCTAGTTTTGGCATTATGGAATCTCTTTTATTTATCATCGATGGATTAGGTGTTTTTAACTTCTAATAAACAACGCATGGCATCGAAACCGGTCTCATCACCACTTTTTGACGTAGTCTACTGGATTTGTTTTGAAAATGTATTTCAATTCCCACTTTGTTTTCGGCATCATCGAATGTGCAGAGTGTTTTGTGTTAATGGCTCATTCAAAAATTCTCATTACGAGTCAAAGTAGTCAAACAGCCAAAACAGACTTTGGATCCACAGCTTCGCTGTCAATTGCCCTTTGATATTTACACCAGATGAAGAGTATTGCGTTGATTTGATTACATTATCATTTTATAATCAGAACATGTTCAATAGATCAACAACACCAGCTATAGTTTCATTTAATCAGAGCGCTCGATATTTATTTATTTATTTCGATCCGTTCATTCGAATGAAACTTCCTCTATGTTGAAATGTTTAACGATCAGTTTTGCCCAATTCGTAAGCCATAAATAGGCAAATGATAACCCCGTCGAAATCTCATAACCGTTGAACCAATGTGTTGTGTACTATGCATGCTTTTTTTTGTTGTTATTTGTTGTGGCGCGAATGTTGTTATTTGAATTATGGAATTGGAATAATTTTTGTGCTTCGGAGTGTGTCTGTCGGGTTTATCAATCGGGGGGATTTTTTTTCTTCTTTCATTTTTTGCGGTGTGTATAAATTACAATTTTGAAGAGTCGTAAATATTGTATAAATTACAGTTTCAAACTTTGATAGTAGGTCAAAATGATGCACGATCGAATTTGGACGAGGTCATCTTGAATGTCTTGTAACTCACTGTGTGTATCAGCAGTAATAATAATAAATTTTCGCAAAATGATTTCGAATCAAGCGTTGAATTTTATCATATCAACGTAATTAGCGAAAAAAAAAATCATATTTCGTTGAATTTTTTGATCGCTTTGCTAATTTCTATTTGGCTGGTTGACTTCCAATTTGTTTGATTCGCCCGGTTTTTTTTTTATTCGTTTCGTTGTTTTACTACAATATTCGCTAATCGTTATGAAGCGAAAAATTTACATTATGACAATAATTTTTTTTTTTTTCGAAAATAATCAGCAATCTTATGCACGCAACGCACGCGACAACCAAACGAAAAAAAAATAGATGAATCTAATTTCAACAATGATATTTTATTATCTGATTGTGCCGTACGTAACATGTTGAAAGAAAAAAAAAAATGACGCGAAGAAGAAAAAGAAGAAAGACACGAAAAAAAACCTTGTCAAATCACTTCCAGATCAATGTTCAGTCGATTTTCGAATCACTCAACGTACGACTTTCTTCCATTGGTCGTTTCAATTTCATGCATAATTTCACTTTCACTCTTATTCATCCATTTCTTACTCTCTCGTTTCGTTTTTATTGTAAATATATTGGAGTTGCGAACGAGTGATGTGTTTTATTGCGCTGCAAACAATGAATAAAATGTATGAGCTGTACCTCAGCAGCAGCAGCAGCAGCAGCAGCAGCAGCAGCCGCAGCAAAGAGTAGCAAACGGCGTCAGCACTGGCAATGGTAAACAGGCGATCTTGTGTGAGTGTAATTGCATTGCTCTCGGTGAGCACACATGAAGACGGAACGCTTTTCTCTATGTTTAGCTAAATAGTTTTGGATTTCATTTCCTCTACTCGTTTTCTTCCATTTTGTTTAATGCATTGGCCTTTTGCAGCTACCGTCGCAATATATTAAATGGGAATCATTTGAAAAACAAAAACTCAATTTCATGTTGTTTTTTTTTCTCATCTCTCTGTCTCTCCACGATGCAATTTGCTGCATCATATTTATTTATACAGTGTCGTTAACACGAAAAATTTGTACTTGAACGGTATTATTCATCAAATTGCCATTCAATCGAAAATTGTTTTGGATGATTTAATGGCTAATTTGTATGCATCGCTAAACCAATTATTCCGTCAGTACAAATTGATTTATACCACACAAATACAGAGAGAGAGAAAAAAGTCACAAAGAACCGCTCAAAAATGACGAAGAAAACCCGAACCATAACAATCGACTAATTGGCAATGAATATGAGTATGACAATATGAAATGTGTCATCATCGCCAGCGTCTATGCGATTCGGCCAATACATTGTATATGTATAAATTTTTGCCAATGACATTGATAGTTTATTCATAAATCATTTTTGTTTTCACGTTCATCTTTATGTTTACATTGTTCGTTTACCTCGCTTAAGTCAATATATACATAGGCATATTATTGCCTTCGTTCATTGCACGGCACGACAGAAGCACAGATCGTTTTAACGCTGAAACTCATTCAGTTTTTGTTTGTTCACTTTTATGCCCATACACAATTTTTGGCATAATCGAAACGATCTAGTTTGCAAATTGTTCTTTTGTCATAATTGGAGGAAGCATGAAATGGTAATATAATTCGGTTTCACAGCACTATTCAAGGTGATGAAAATGCATAAACGTGGTGTGGTCGTCAAAAGCATAATTTTTGTAAATCTTATAAATAGAGCATAGCACTAACTATAAGAGAAACTTACACAAAAATCAGAGACGATCAAATTTAACAAATTGATAATTTTTTTTAGATACGAAAAATGCATTCTTAATTTTATAAAAAAACACTGTTCAATGCACATAGTCCAATAAATATAACTGAATTTTACCAATTCCAATACTGGAACAACGTTGGAAAGAGACAACTATATTGTCTCAATGCTATACATTTGACGTTTCCAGTCTGTTGTTCTGAACTGTCAAACTCTCTGAAATTGTTTAATAGCAGTGTGCATCGAGAATAAAACAGAACTATTTTATCCTTGGGAATTTCAGTGAATTTTTTTTTATAATTTTACGATGGCAGAATGTCTTCAGATTTCACAAAATAATCGAAATAATTCAAACGATGACGACGATTACGATGACTACGAAGAGTATTGTGAAAATTTCACATTTTCAGTAAGTGTTCTATTTGTTGTGTGTGGTCACTTCGACTCAAATAATTATTGACTACGTAATTTTTTTCGCAGGCAACATCAACGTGTTGCGTTTGCAATGGTTATTATGCTCCGAGTTTTGGTGAGCCGTTGTGTGGCACATGTCATGCGTTTTTATTTCCAGTCGCTGCCGAAGAGAAACGCTCAACAGATTTATCAGACAATGACGAAGATTCGGGCAACGATGAACCACCATACAAAGATCCAGTTCCACATCGGATACCAGAAATAGTACGAGTCGACCAACCAGGCGAAGAAGCAGATGACGATTTTATCTATTTTCCGCCATTTCATGTGGACCGTGTATTATCACCGGCCGATGATCAAAACGAACATCCAAACAGTCCAGCAACGGCTGCATCAACATCGAGAAATAACGATCGCATGGCCATTTATGAAAATGCATTTTTAGGCAATCGCCCCGATCCCGAAGCACCACGAAATCTACGACAGTATTTAAATGCACTTACTGAAGGTCCACATGAAAGACCAATCAACGCTAATCAAAATGCCATTCGACAAGTGGATGATGCAAATAACGTAGCGGCCCCAATGGTTGCAAACAAGCCTAACACAATTGCTGCACTTCCGGTCGAAGTTTTACTTGTGATATTCTCATATTTGGACGACATATCTCTGTGCCACGTCGGAGAAGTATGCAAACAATGGAAAAAAATTCTCGAAATTCATACCCCACAACAGCTGTGGCAACGATATACCAGAACTAGATGGCCGTTGTATCATCAAATTACACACACAACTAATTGGTTTAAGGTAAGGTAACTTACTTATTTTATTGAGATTTGAAATTAAATTTAAATTTTTGGTGCAATTTAGATTTATTCATCACTGATGAAATCATGTTTTTGTCGTACTTGTGTCATACAAATGACATTACGAACACCACAACAACGAGAGAATCATTTTCGATCCAGACGCCTACGGGGTGATATTCGCACATTAACCGCCGATGCTACGGAAGGAATTGAAGCTGTTCCACTTGATAATTCACTTTCACATTGGCAAGCATCGATCGTTGGACCCACCGGCAGTCCGTACGAGGGTGGAAAATTCTTTTTACATATTTTGATTCCGTTTTCGTAAGTAGTCGTTTTATCATTGGAACTGTCATGGTAGGAATAATAAATCCGAAAATATTTCTCTTTATACAGATATCCAATGCATCCGCCGATTGTACGATTCTTGACCAAGATTATCCATCCCAATGTGAGCCGGCACGGAGACGTTGGTATTGATATAATTCAGCACAATTGGTCGTTAGCATTAACCATATCAAAGCTACTGCTAAGCGTACAAAGTCTTCTTACTGATCCATTCACAGAGGTATCTAACGATATCATTGATAGCCTAAACTTTATCATCAGTTTAATAATATTAAAATTTCTTTGAATTTTAGATTTGCATGGAACCCGAATTAGGTCGTTTATACGAACAAGATAGATCACGTTTCGAGGCGTTGGCACGTCGATTTACTTGGAAATACGCAATGCAAGAAGTAATTCCATAAATCGACTGAACATTTATTGATAATTTAATCTACATGTGCTTATACCAGTAGTGTGCTTCCCCCAGTGATTTGACGAAATTTTTTTTTTCTCTAAAAATCATCTTCTCATGAAAAATTTTCCTCGCACACTACTGGCTTATAATATATTCCTTAATTCTATTTAATATCGGCACATTTATTTAATAATAAAAGATTATTCTCTGCATTCAACATGTAGCTGGAAATAAAGTTATGAATCTATATAAATAATATATGTTTATTGTTTGTTTTGACTATAAGTTGTATGTTTTGGCCACTGTTAACCATGCTTAATGTTTTGACTGACTTTTGTGACAAACCTGAACCGTCATTAGACATATGGAATGACAGTGCGTGTGATGTTGACAAAAAAAAAATTATCATAATACTAAATAGACTGACATCATATAGATTAGTTTTTTTCTCTTTAGCTTTGTTCCTGTGTTTTTGGCCTCAAATTTGCCACTTTTTTACTGCCCAATACAATAATGGGTCAAGCGAAGAGTCAGTTTACGGATGAAGAACTTCAGGTAGACATAAATAAAAGGATTTATTGTCAATTTTCTGTTTTAACAATCAGTAACAATAAAATAAAACACAAATACTGAGCGAATCTTTATGGTCATTCAAATTGTCAACAAATAATAATACTTGAGAACTTTTTTTATTTATACCACTTTAGGATTATGAAGATTTGACGTTTTTTACGAAAAAGGAAATTTTACTGTAAGTATAAGCCTAGTACAAAGTACACCAGTATAAATGCCATATCAAAGCCCCGCTGAGTAAACATTTCCATTTTTTGTTCATTCATATAGTGCTCATAAAAAGTTTAAAGCATTGGCACCGGAAAAAGTTGGACACAATAAAAATGCTAAACTGTCAATGGCAAAAGTATTGACTTATCCAGAACTGAAGGTGAATCCATTTGGTGATCAAATTTGTAAAGTGTTCAGCTCCAGCAATGACGGAGACTGTACATTCGAAGATTTCCTTGACATGATGTCCGTTTTTAGCGATGCTGCGCCAAGAAGTGTTAAGGCTGAACACGCGTTCAGGATCTTTGGTAAAAAAAATTGTCTATGAAATTAAATTGGCGAAAATTTAACAAAATCGAATGAAAAATGTTTTTGTTTATAGACTTTGATGGAGATGATATGTTGGGAGTTAGTGACCTGAAGCAGGTAAATATCAACTGGCTATGTATACACAGTATGTTGAAGACAGTAAGCCAAACGACACATTTGTATTATTACCTGCTCAAGATATTCGTAGCTTATAAAAATGGATGCATTCTTTCTTTTAATTTTTTTTATCAAAATTAAATAATTTTCATTTGCGTTGTGCGTGTAGGTCATTGAAAGATTAATTGGGCCTCAAAACACACTGTCGGAAAACGATATGAAACAGTTGATTCAAAATATATTGGCCGAAGCGGACTTGGATGACGATCATGCACTCTCCTTTCCCGAATTCGAACAGTGAGTTGAGATTTAACACTTTTCAGCATTGAACCGCACTTTAAATGAGCTTTCGTTTTATTCATTTTACAGCATCATCGATAAGTCTTCCGATTTTATAAAGTAAGTGCCAAATCTCTAGCAAAATATATTGTTTTCAATGGCTAATGAAACTGTCTTTTTGATTGCAGCTCATTTCGAATGCGTTTATAAACATATTCTGGCCTAATTATTTATCTGTTACCTTTTTTCCCATTTCCGACGACTTAAATTCAGTATTAGACTTGAGCAAATTATGCACAACATAATTCTAAGACTTTGGCAGACTTGATCCCTTTGTTTTATTACGTGAATAGCGTTTTGTGATTTTACATTATTATTACTTTATACCATAAGCTTGACACATTGCATACATTTTACCAATATTGATACCAAATACGAATAAAATAAAATCGAAACCAATTTCGACTTAATGCACGTCTGTTTTTATTCATTTCGCTTTTTGTCCAATCAGCTTTGTTGGCCACATTCAAGTAAATTTGGGACAAAATCCATCTGTCGAAAAATAGTTCACATTTTCTCCGCCAGGAATTTTGATTTGACATCAAATTTTTTTTTGGTTGTTGATAGAAATAGCATCACAGAAACAGTTTATTTCAACGTTTTGAATTTCGAAAAAAATTAATAAAAGTAGGAATGTCTGAAGTGAGCGAGGAGGATAAATCAATTGCTGTAGCAACGATTCGAGAAAATGTTAAAGAAAACATTCGTATTGCTCGATTAAAACATCGCCAAAATGAATTAGACAATTTACGAATTACACATGGCAAACTAGAAGACCTGTCGATCAATTTGCAAACATTTACAAAAGACAATGTTTTGGCCACTGCCAATAAAATAAAAAAACAGCGTCATGCATCAGCAACGGAACTCATGAAATTAAGCCATTCTTTTCTTCAAAGCAGCGAAAATATCAATTGTTTTGTTAACGCAACTGGTGCATTGCCGGTGATTGTCAAAGAAATGACGGGAACAAATACAGAAAAACAGTTATTAGCCGTCGAATGCCTGTGTAATTTATCTCTCGGTTCGGCGAACGATTGTGAAAAAATCGCACAAAAGGCTGGCACTTACTTACACACATTTTTGGAGAGCTCAAACGAATCAATTGTTGTGAGTAGAATTTATTGGAATTTTGATTTGTAAGCAATTAAATCAAAACAATTTCTATTCAATTTTTTATATAGAAAACTACACTGTGGTGCTGCACAAATTTGATTGTTGCTGGAAAGAAATCGTTGGACATTTTATTGAGCCAAGAACTAATCCGATCACTTATCAACGTCACGCGATCAATTCACAATAAAAATCTGAAAGATGAAGCATTGATTGCTATCGAATTGGTTCTCGATCATGGCGGCGTCCCTAAGTAATGCGATATTTTTTTTTGAATCGTAATTCGAAAACGATTTTTAAATGTAAATTTCATCTTTTATGACGAATTCTTTTCCAAATATTCTATTTTTGAATCGCAGGTTATCAGATGTCGAGACACTGTCAAAATGGATTTTAAGTCAAACAGCACCACTTGATCCAAGCATTACAAAAATCATTTATAAATTACTCGACTTGCTTCAGTTCCAGTCCAAAGATGTCATCGGAATGCAAAAGCTAGTTTTTATTTGCTTTGAGACACTTATACATTTGTACAATGGCAGTGCAACTTCATCCCTCCAATCCACAAGATCAAGCGAACATCTCCATCAAGTTGTTCTTCATATGCGCATTCTTTCCAATATCGTTGCGTTGGAAAATTCATTTGCTGACTTGATCATCGAAACTTGGTTCGTCAACCAATCACGTTCGTTGGCATCTTTCTACAATCATTTCATCGATCTCTTTAGCGCTCATTCAGTCTCAATCGAAGAAATCTATTGGTTCATTGGTAATCTCATGAAATGCCAACTCGGTGAAGTGTCACTCAAATACTTAGAAACTGATCAGTTTTTTGCCCAAATTAAAATGTGATGAAAATTTTCAAAAGAAAAAAAAATATTGCTCATTGTAAATGATACCACGCTTTGATTACAATAAAACACGATTTTTTAAGTGAAAAATATAATGTAACGTTAGAGCGGATTTTATTTTTGTAAATATTATTTCATTTGATGTGTTCAGCCCAACATTTTTGTTCAAATTCTGCACCATTTTGGTCCGAAATTTCTGGAAGACAAAGATTTTCAAGCAAATGGAAGGCATCACAGCAGCCAGACATTGTGCCGAAATATTTCAGCTTACTAAAAGCTCATCATGAAAGTTAAAGAGAATTTAGCAGCTTAGTGAGTTGAAATATTTCAGCCAGTGGAAAATATCTCGGTACAATGTAATAAGTAATAAAAGAAGGCGTCGTTCGCAATTTTCAAAGCGATTGAAAATTCGCAAGCAATTGTTCCATTTATTATTATTGCATGCTTAAATTGTCTATTAACAGAGTAATAAGCTTTTGGAGTACTGCAAAATTTATGAACAGAATAAATCGTCACTACTTTTTTTTTTTAAATAATTGTGAAAATTGTATTATTGGACGAACTTGATAATATTTTTGTTGTAAAAATACTATTTTGTTGCTAACTTAAACCGAAGCACAGATGCTATTTTGGCCTTGTATCGTACTTTGGACATTGGTTCCATTTAAGTTATAAATTACAAATTCGAATCGAATCTCAAGTATTGATTCCTTTAAACATCCCTTTCACTTATAAATAGAAATGAGCTCATATCAAAGTGTGTGAACTATTTATTACAAAGCTGCAATAACATAAATGTAATACACCAATTCAAATCGAACACATTAAAAATGAAATATCGAAATCATAAAGAATAGTCGATGTTAAAAACTAAAAGAAAAATAAAGGAAATTAGATTAAACAAAAGGTGAAATCAATTCTTAGGTATTTCTTATTGGTCATGAATGAATTTTTGCTACTGTTGTTGACATGTTGTTTCAGTTTTGCTTTGTTGGTGATGTGTTTATTGGCTCTTGCCTTATAATATTGAAATGGCTTTTAAAAATATAAATTATCTTTTGTTTGTACGATGATTGATTTTTTTTCTAAAAAAGAACTATTCAAACCTATGTCTAGTCGTAATTATTCTAAAGCGATGCAAATCAATTGTTTTCACTCGCTTCAATGGGACAACCATTGCTCAATAAACTGATAGGATCATTGTTGAGTATGCTAGATGATTGTGCCTCTTCGCTTGTCATCGACGACGATTGAGCATTTGATGTGGAATTCTGCTCATGTCGTGCTTGCTCTAGCTGGCTCATGCGCAAAATATCATTTTGTGATTCTTTCCCTTCCACATAGAATATGCTTCGCTGCAGTTTTGAAAGAAAAAATGGAAAAAGATTAACAGAATTCATGAAAATTTGATCGTAAATTATGACAATGATGCGTCTGTGTTGAATTAATTATGAAATATTTTTTTTTTGATAAACAAAGATGAACCAAATGATGGATAAATTGAATGTGAATTTTTTTGTTTGCATTTTGATCAGCGACGTTGAAATAAATGTTTTATAAACTGAACGATTGCTTGAAATGGATTAATTTGAGTGATCTGGAAAGCGGAAAAATTGAAATGAAAAAATTTGTGGTTGTAAACGATGCGATTCGATGTGAACATTTGATAGAGTTTTCAATATACTTAACACTCAATGTTTTGCACATGTCTTGTGTGCAGTAAACATAATAGAAACACTCATTTTTAAGATCAATCTGTAGTCATACCAAACACTCACCTTCTCATTTTTCTCTGTTAATTTGTCCATTTTATCGTAAATGATTCCATGAATATTCAAATCTTTTAAAAATTTAATCGTTTCCTTCGAGTTATTTTCATCACCCCAGCAAAACACGGTCAAACCCAGATTTGTTGCCAAGTTTAACTGCAATTGATAATTTTTTTTATTATTATCGTGCTGATAGAATGCAGCGGATCACGTCTCAATCATACTAACTTGAGTTGTATCACGTAATAAATCCATTGTATGTGCAACAATGCCTAGCAGTCCATTTGAATTGGCATGAAATACAGCATTTTCAATTGTGTCACCACGAGGATCGTGAAACATTTCATAGCGGTCGGAGATGCCTTGTGACAAAAACATGACCGGGTATATGTTTTGCTTCCAGCGCAACATCACACATATGTCTGGATCAAAACTAGAAAACACCACTCGTCGATCGGCAGCTTTGCTTAGAACAACATCCAATATACAATCAACATACAAATTTGGATTTTTATTTACACGATCCATTTCATGCCGGCCATCAAATAATTCCATATTCCATTTAACTTCAATATTAAAACCAACACTTTCGTCAAGTGCATCGAAAACATCCGAAAGCTGTGGAAATGGTTGATGCTGATCAAGATGCTCGTCAAAGAATTTTGGTTGCCTCGTTTTTCCTTCAACTTGATGATACACTTTTAAATGTTTCAATTGCTCCAACGTTAATTCATTCATTGGCAATTCGAGATAATCATTTTCATCCAATGATTTCTTCTTTTTCAATGAAACGTACACATGCAAATCGTGATAAATAACCGGCACTAAATCTTTACTCAATTGAACATCGAATTCCACCTAAAAAGTAAAATGAAACTTATTTAATTGGAAATTTCATTGCAAGATTTTGGTCGTCACTCACCATATCAGCGCCAGCATCCACTGCTTTCTGAAGAGAAGCAATGGTATTTTCTCGAATTGCATCGTCTCCAGACGTTGGTTTGAAACTTGTGCCAGAACCACGGTGACCAACTTCGAGCCCCTTCCACCTATTATTCCAGTAACGACCGAACGATCGTTTCATATTCAGTTGCACCGATGAATTTAATGGAGAAATCTAATTTCCAAATAAACCAAAATTTAGCAAATATTCAAAAATCTACCGAATAAAACTCTTGAACATACCCGAATATATTCAATATTCATCATTCCCAACGGTCGATGCTTGGATGCGCATGTAATCGGCATTTCGATTTTACCATCGGATTTACGTAGAACATTTGGCAATATATAATGATAGCCTAAATGATAGGGTGGTTCATCATCGTCAGGCGACACCCTGGAACTATATGTATACAGATCGATTAGATAAGCAACATTCTCTGGATCACCAACGCTAACATTAAATATCAAAATGTCGTCTTGATGGTAGGGTCGGCCGAATTGGGTTTGTTGTTCGAACACATTGTTTGTTGATTTAAGTGTGGCCACTTCGGCAAAAGCATACACCGGTTGCTCAGTACTGCCATTCTCGCGCGTATCATTTGACATCGAATCTTCAACTTCAAACGTCGAATGGCCATGTGCTGACGTATCAGCGGAGTTTATACGCAAATTCATTGGCGTCAACTAAAATCAAATTTAAAGAATTGATCTTGCTTTTTCTTTTGGTTGTTTTGAGAAGAAAAAAAAAACAAACAAATCTATTTCAATGGACATTCTCTTTGGTTCGTTAATTTACGGTAAAATACTTTCACAGCTTAAAGAATGGAATTGGTCCTAATGCTTGCGATTGAAATGACAAAAATTCAATTAAATTAATTACTTGGACCGTTACGCTATCATTACTTTCCTGACAAAATAAACAGACTGCCATAAATTAAAATAAACACCGTCTGTTTTAATCGAAAAGGCTACGTAATATTTTCCTCTTATCAAAATAAAGAATTTAGAAAATGTTATCAGAAATTATGCACCTTTGGACAAACAATTGGACTCTCAGGTGACCCTAGTCTTGTTTTTTTCTCAAAAAAAGGAAAAACCGATATTCGATATCACACTTAAAAAAACACTTCTATGAACAATACCTGGACAAAAAAATGTCTTTCTTTTATAAGAAATGCATACCTTTACGTAAAGCAAGCGATTTTTCAACTTTTGCCTTAGAATGAATGGATTACGAATGAATTTGAATTGGAACACGGTCTCGGTAGTGAGCCAGCCACGATCAATTTTCTCTGAACCGTTTATATCACCAAATGTATCGATTTCTGGAACATTGTTTTTCGATGTTGACGGGGAGCTAGGTTTCGGCATGGCTGTTTCAGCAACGGGAGATACTTTCGACTCAATTTCGGTGACTTCACCATGGTCGGCCGAAATTTGACGTGGATTCAAATGTGTTTCCCATCGTCGCACATGAATATTCTCTGTCATGGGATCAACCGTACATATTAAGTAGCGATACGGCACATCTTTATTTGCCGGAATATAAACATCACGTGACCATATATTTGTATCTGAAAAAAAAAACAGACATAATAAACAGACAATTAGTGCATACGATTAAATATGTTGATTAATAAGTCTATTTTTGTCACAACCTGAAATTGTCAATACAACTTAAAGTGACATTGTTGCATTATTGAAATACGATAATAAAGAATTATTTTACATGTATTATCACATTTTCATTTAATGTTTTTTGTGAACAGAAATTAGTTGTTAATTCGGTTTTACTGAATAAAATGTGCTCGGACGCTTCGCCTTACAATATTTTGTTTGAAATATGTTGTTTTCTTTCATTATAAACAAAATCATGATAATTTTATGAATCATTTTGCAAAATTCTATGGATGAGTTTATTTGTAACCAAATCCTGTTTTTTCAGAAGACAATTGCTTGTGATGGGTCTCGATTATGATGAATGGAGTTTATCTATTCAATAAACACGATTATGATGAATAGTCATTTGAGGGGCTCATTGACGTAACTATTTTTGATAGGCGTTAACGATAGATCAGATCATATACCATTTAAAATGTTAATGGACAGTTTTTATGTCCCCTGTAAGGTTTGGGTGCAGAACAAACAATTTAATATAATAAAAATCGTAGCAACAAGTGGAATTTGTGTCTCGGGTAAGTGTGAACAATATTATTCGCGATAAGCAAACACTTGTAAATAAACGAATCTAATCGGACATGTCAAACGATTAGATAAGATTCAGAGGTGGTTAATCAAAATATATCTCACACTTCATGTTAATAACTTACAATATTGTATAACTGATATGCCGGATTCAATGTGGATAAAAACACTGGCATGATAAAATTAAATATTTAAATTGCATTTTGTACTTTTAAAGAAATAAAATGTCATCAAATTCACATAAAATATGAATAATTTTCGCCATCTGGCAAAAATTCTCATTGTGAATATACACCATTTCTATTTTTTTTACAGACATTTCAATTGTGTTAGACATTGATAGAAGCGGCGAAAAATTTAATCGATAAAGTATGAAACAGATTGTATGAAAAACAATTCGATATAATAACACATGCAATATCTCAAAACGGCGCCCCTACGATTTGAATGCAATTTCTGAATATCGTCGATAAATAAATAGTCAAGTTAAATATCGTCTAACGTTACCGCTATATGGAATGCAATCGAAAAAATGACATTGTTCGGCACATTGCTTTCTTTCGATTCATTGACATTGTGCACATATCACCTTCTACATTCAGTTGTGCTAATTATATGAGAATGTAGTTTGTTTGAATTTCACTATCATGTTGCCTTGGCAATGGGATACACATGTTTTTCAATGTCAATAGAAGATCGACAGCAAAATGCTAATAAACAAAAACTTCAATGAAAGTCCACAACGAAATGATATCGCACCGGTGGAATGAATTCTATTACAATGGCGAGACAACAAACAACGTCGTTAACAGTAGCAAAAATAACAAATTTATTCAGTCCATTGCCCCCATATTGTTGACCAATACAGAATATACTATAATATTTTCGAATTGTGGCCAAAAATTGGTACAAAAAAATTTATCACACATCTTGTTCGTTGGCCACTATTATATTCAGAAATTCTCTATTTTTATGATGACAACTTGATTTTTTTTGTGATTTTGCCAAAATGTGACGAAGTGTGTTACGTTGTTGCTATTTTGTCCTACGCAAAAATTATTCAGGCGTATTTTGTAGAAAATCACACTTTTGGTGTAGCTCAGAGATGTATTTTCTGCTAATTCTCAATTTTATAACGGCAATATGTGTATGCGGAAAAAGAACGTTTATCAAATTGATAACAATATTATAGCTCTCAATTACATGCAACAAATTCAATTTAACCCGTTGAGGATTACGTGCATAAATACTATTCATCACATTTGTTCACTGTTGGGAATGGTTTTTTTTTTTAAATAGATGTATGTTGATTACAGTTCAAGTTGTACAGGATGTAAATGATTATGTGTTTATGTTCCATTTTCTTTTGTGGCGTGTAAAATACTCACCATTTTCGCGATTTAATTGAACACAATGGGCGGGCAACCAGCGACCCAAACTTGAACATTCACCAGTTACAGCGACTCGTTCGCTTGTCTCCAAACGTTGATTGACTAATACACGAAACGTGTGCAAACGACCATTATTTTCTGGTGGTAGATTTTGATCGTGTGATGGACTTTGACTCGATTCATTGCCACTGCCAAAAAACCAACGCTGCATTTTTTATTTACGTATTTCTCACCGGAATTTTTATCTAAAAAAAATATATTACAATCTGGAATATGAAAAAATTGACGAGGAACGAAAATTAAAATTTATGAAAATTATCACTTGCCAAACATTTTTAAATGATTTTGATATTTTGAATAATAACTTAAATTGAGTACTAACCTGTATTTTTATCAACGTGGAAGTCAATTCGTAACACGTGACAAATTTTCTGGATTTAGTTTACTTTGCTTTCACTTCTATGAAACGCCAAAGAAAAATTCAAAAAAAAATATGGTCTCCAATTGTCCTTCAAGTCGATACTATTCTATCATTTTTACCACTAAAAAAATCCAACACAACGTAAAATCTTGAAAAACTGTAATAAATGAAAAAAATTCCTTGATTTTTAAAATGTGAACTTTGAACGCTCCTTGAACAAAGAATATTATTAAATATTTTTCAAACAAAGCAAGCGGGATGATTCTATCGATTGACGAACGTGCAACGACTGTCCGAGTCGATAGGGAGCTTTTTCACTCACTCGTATACAACTTTGATTTGTGAACGAAAACAAACTGAAAACCACTGGAGAAACTCTGTGAGAAAATGAAAACACAAGTGAGCTACAAATTGATTTAGTATGTAATAAAATAAATATGTACGTAGATACACAGAGAGAAACGTGAATGGTGGTAACGTGATTATCAAATGACACAACATATGAACCGTTGTGTACATAAAGAGTCTCTCTTTTTATTTCTCTTTCTCATTTGTTTTTGTCTTAATTTTCGTTATGTGTACTTGTGTGACGACAACAGCGAGCTAAAAACGACATTGCCTGCTAAGAGAGAGAGAGCGAAATATCAAAATATGTGTTGATTCGGTGTGTAGTTATTTGTAGTATGTTTGTCAAAAACGTACTTTTGTTGTGTGCGTTTGGCTACACGAGTCTCTGCACGTTTTTTTAAACTTATGACTACATTTAGCGAACGTATGAGTCAAAGCATAAACATGAAAAAAAATCGAACCACTGTTTTCACTGGCTCACGCGATGTTGGAGAGGAAAACTCACACAAACCAAAACAACAATCAAAAGCCGCATTGCTTTGATACACAACAACATCCACACATCTAAACATTACTATAAATTATGTTGTGTACTTTGACCTCGCTACAATCAAACACTTCCTTTCATGCAAACCAACCAATTCTTTCTCTTTTTCTCAATTGCTCATACTCTTTTACGCTACCTATACGCATGCTGCTGTTTATAAAATCGAACGATGTATCAGAAGAAGAAGAAGAAGAAGGAGAAGGAGAAAGAAATATATCAGGCGATGCAGTTGCACATGTAATCGGTTACATGCAATACAATCTCAACATTGACGGCATTTGTTCTTTGAGATTGTTGCTGTTTGTTATTGAAAATGAGACGGGTTTTATTGAGAACGAAGGAAATTTGTATTAGGCGTAGAAAAAAGTATGACTTTTTTTCTCAATTGTGGGGCCATTTTTCTATGTCAATTTTGAATCTCAAATTAAATATGAATTCTTACGTTTTTTCAGGGAATTCCAAAATTTTAAAAAGAAATTATTTGTTAAGATTTCATCATATCTATTCACTTACAAATTAAATGGATTCCTATTTATTTTGCGTTGAAAATTTTCACAAAGTCATAATGTCACTGTCCATTGAATTTGTGGAATTTTTTCTGCTTGGAAAACTGATTGACGTAAATTAGTTTTTGGTGCAACGTATGCTATTTGTCGTACACTTTGAGAGTCTAACATTTCCTGTTGCAAATCACAAATTCTTCATACATCGAAACAACAATGACACTGCTATTATTCATTTAGCAAAACAGAAGAAAAAAAATGCGATAACTCAGACTACAATAACAGATTTTTCGCTACCAGACCAAATTGCGAAACAGAGAACACTGCACGATTATAAACAAACGTTGACACTTTGCGAAAAAATGTACAAGCACACGAACGATTAGGCTGAAGAAAAAAAACTGGCGTCGTGAAATGACATAACACACAGCTGACATGAAAATAAAGTCATAAAGTCACACACAGATGGCACTTATTTCGATTTTCATTTAAATCAATATATCAAAAACTACAAACACATTTCATCGATGACATTTTTTTTTTGCATTTTTAAATTTGCTTTTCTACCCTTTCATTAAAGACGGAAATGAGCAGCATCTTCATTACGATCATGATAATTTGAATTGAGTTTTTTTTCCATGTGATTATTGCGTGTGTGTGTTTGCGTGACTAGGAAACATTCCATTAGAACTTTGGTTGTCGTTATATACATTTGATTGTCAATGCAATCGATTCTGTTTTCGATTTTTGAAATCATCACCTTTGGCAATATTTAATTAACTCTTAATTAAATTATTCACAAATAAATTGACGGAACACAATAATTCTCAGCAACCAAAAATATATTAATGAATGTTAATTGATAATTATTGTACGAAATGGAATCGACAAACGTCGAGAGCATTCGATTTTTCTATTTAAATCTAAAAATAAATTTATAGTTTGAAGAGTTCTTTTATCAATGTTTTACATTATAAAATATTGCTAACCAGTAAAAAAAACCTCTTTGATTTTTTCTGCAATCTCTGTGTGAGCCGAATGCCGGGAAATTTTCTGAAAAATATTATTTCCGAACGAAAAAATTCGAAAATTCGTGATACCTTTTAGCATTCGCGTACTCTTAGAAAATACAGATGACAAAATCAAAAGTAACCAGAGTAAAATAAATACCAAAACAAAGTGATTTGAGTCCAGTATTGATCTGAGTGAGAGCAAAATTTTTGTGGAGCTTCACTCAAAAACTCATATTATGGATGCAGCCACATTGGACAGATACACATTTTCTTCCGATTATAGCTAAATTGCAGTAAAATTATAATTTGAAAATAACATTTCTTTCGCCAATGCAGAGCGCAATTTGAGCTTTTGAGTGAAACTACACAAACATTTCTCTCTCACTCAAATCAATACTGGATTTTAATCACTGTATTTTGTCGTCTACGTACCGTACGTGGAAGCGAGTTGGCTTTTAAGTGTACTCTGGCAAGTAGCAGATTCGGATCGAGCAGCAGCAGTAGCAGATAGACTGATTTTTTATCAACTTGTTTACTTACTGACTGCTCGCATCGCTTGAAACGGAGCATGACAATTGCTTACTTATTAACTAGCTGCTTCAATTGGTGAATCAGAATGAAACATTATAAGGATTTTCATGAATGAACAGAGTTTTTTCGGCACGCATTCGTACGTACTCAAAATTTCATGACCTCAATTTTGTCATTTATGGAAAGCATCACATGACATAATGCAATTTTATTGTGTTTACTTTTGATTTTGTCATCTGTATTTTCTAGGAGTAAGCCATAATTATAACTCAATATATATCATGTTTGTGTGTATGAGTACAAATGAACAGTAAAGAAACAGCAACTCGTTGTTCTTATGAGTTTAAAGTAGACATCGGTTCCATTCAAAAATACACTTGAAAATGAGAACACAGTTTTTTCCTTAATTCTTTGATCACATTCAATTTTATTCATAAAGTTTTATTTTTAATTGATAGACAATGAATTTCAACTATTTTTACAATTTATTTCTACTATTTTTACATGAGGTTTTATTTTTTTAATTCAAAAAATAAAATATCAAATTTTAAGCCACCGTTTTTTTGCATGGAGTTTTCTTCTTTGTTGTGAACATAACTTGCGCGTATGCCGATAATTTCATTAGAGTCCTCTTTAAAGCATGCTAGCACCATTTTTTGTTCAAACATCAATCTTCGTGATTATTTTAAATGAATCGTTGCGGCGAAACAGTAGCTCTTATTTCTCTCCAAATAATACTGCAACATGAAGTTTTTTTCACACGGTTTATTTGTTGTAATACAACCAGAGCATATATTAAGCATAGATATATATCCTGGATATTTTGTTAGTATCCGATATTCATTGGAGCCAGACTTTGAAATAGAGTAAAAACAATAGAAGTTATTTTTATAGTGATTGTAGTAATGTAAATGGTTTTATACTTAGACCTATAACAATCACTTCTATTGTTTTCACTCCATTATAATGTCTGGCTGCGATAAATATCGGATACTCACAAAATATCCCGGATATATATCTATGCTCAGTATATTCTCTGAATACAACAAATAAACTATTCATAATAAACTTTATGTTGCAGTATTATTTGGAGAAAAATAAGAGCTACTCTTTCGCCGCAACGATTCAAATGTTCCATTGCTTCAATATCATCACAAATCCCTATTGCAAATTTGAAATTTACTGGTTATGCTGAATGAAACAGTAATCCTGCTGGTGACTATACAATAATTAAAATATTTTTAAATAACTGACCAAGGGCTCGCAATATTGGTTCATCTCTGTAGAAGTGTTGGTTTACAAAATCAATTCCATCTTTAAATCGTGACTCTGGCAAATCTTGAATACGATATTCAACCATTATTTCACTATCAACATCAATCGCACTGAACTTCCACCAAACTTTTGGAAACTCAGCCCATTTTGGTCGCTTCCATATACACATAATAAATGTGACATAAAAATACGAAAAATAAATAATTAAAATAACTTAAGTTAATAGTAGAAAAAATTCCGATGAGTAGAGTTTATTGAAAAAGCGACACCGCTTATATCATTCTAAAGAAAAAAGAAAAGAATAAGCAAATATATTGTTTTCACGTCGAGACCAACAAGAAGTCTGAACAATTTATATGTGAGTAGCGACCTTTTATGGTGTCTGGTGACATCGGAAGAAATGTCTCGCACGCGTGAAATTTTTTCGTCATATAATGATTATAAAGATTTACTCAATTTTGTTTATGTTTTCCTTTCAATTTGAGATACAGTCCAGCTTGACTATTTCCATAAAAATCATTGTTATCATACACAAAAACAAACACATAAAACTGACAAAGAGAGAGACAAACAAATATGGTTTTTCGTTCACAGATGTCCTTCTCTTCAAAATATTGCCAAATAGTATGTAGTATGTTACTTTTACTTTAAAGAATTACTGCATTCTTGGTTACATATACTTACAGATACACCAACAATTTAATCTGAACCAGTACATACGATAAAAAGATAACAATTATAAAATGTAATCAGTAAATTCTTCGCTCAAAATAGACTTAAAATGAAAACACAGGTTTTTTATACAAAACATTTGAATTTATATAATTATTGATCTTGGCATGAATTTACACATAGTGTCATCTTCACATTAAAAAACAATTGATTTTATAGTCATTGCATCGCTTTTAATTGGTGGTAACTTAATCTGCGGATGTGATTTTAAAAGATCCTCATACCTAAAATTGATTTCAATTAATAATGAAAAAACAAACTCATTGCAAACGTACATAATAGATTTGTCCAATGTGAATCCAACTTTATCGGCGATTCTATTTGAAGAATCTGCAGTGAATACCGTTGAAGTTAAGCTTATTCCAAACTGGTTACAAATTGCCTTTCTACAATGAAGAAATTGTTCTCCTATGCCTCGACGACGATATTTCTTATCGACAACAAGTCCAATGCAACTTAGATGCTTATCAACTCCATACACTTCGAATATATCAAAATTTTCCCGTATTATAGACATTAGCTCGCCATACTTCTTGATCTTTTCGTTTTTAATCTAAAAACATAAGCAACATCATTTTTATTTATTTCATAAAACAATGTTTTAATTTAAAATTCAACTTAAAAATATAAAACTACCTCACTGTAAATGACCTGCATGAAGTTATCTTCTTTGCATTTTACGTAATTTGCATTCATACCGATAATTTCATCAGATCCATTTTTCAAGCAAGCCAGCACCATTTTTTGCTTGAAATTTTCAACTGCATCAACTTCATCACAAATACCTATTAAGAATACATTATTTGTTATTGAATTTGATTATAAAATGACAAACAAAATCTAAATGGCAAACCGTAAACATTTGAATCTGATCTAAATGACTTACCAAATGCTTCGCATATTGGTTCATCTTTACAAAAATGTTCACCCATAAAATCAATTCCATCTTTAAATCGTGATTCTGGCAAATCTTGAATGCTATATTCAACAATTTTACCACTATCAATATCAACCGCATTAAATGATCGCCAAACTTTTGGAAACTCGGTCGATCTCGGACGTTTCCATTTTAAATCTTTCAATGTGTGCATGATTCAAAACATTTATTGATCGTAAAAATGTGAAAGATTAATTGAATAAATCAACAATAAGAGAATTATTGTAGTTGTTCTTTATCAAAATGAACAAGACGACTGAGCAACATCACCGTTGACAGCCTTATATCAAATGAGTCAAAGTCATTGCACTGTCAGATAATGTTGTCACCAATTCAAAGGACTATCGTTTCAAAACGACCGATTATTATGATTTGAAATTTTTTATGATGTTTCGAACTAATTCACTTGCACTTGACTGTGAGTCATTTTTTTTGCACATGGGATTGCTTGTGAATCAATGGTTCCAAGGAAGAAGCCAAAGTTCTCTGAGTATAATTGGTTATTGATTCACTGTATTGCACTGAATTTGTACATTTACATCAAGTAACACTTATTGTTCTTATCAATTGTGTATAAAGTATATATTGCTTCTGACAAATACTGATGCCAAACCCGAGAAGACAGTTTTTTTTTAGAATTCATTGAAAATATTAAAAAATATAATCTTGCCATGAACTATACATAACGTTTTTTGTGTATATATAAATCTTAACTTAAAAAAAATTGATGTGTTCGTCTGATTGCATCATAAAAATTTATACAAAAACATTTCGCTTCCAGATATACTTTTTTTCAGACATTTGAGCTGTATTTTAAATAAAACTTTTACTTTACTCCAAAATTTCATACTTAGAGAGATACATTCAAAAGATATATTTTTCCAATTTGATCTAAGATTCATGCAACCCGCAGATTCATAGTGATAAAAACATTTGTACGTCAACAATTTAATCTGAATAATATTTGAAAATGCGGTAGTTTTTTTAACGGTCGACAACAAAATTTTTAATATTCATCATAAAAATTCATCATCTCAGCAATTCTTTTCAATTTTACCTTTCATTTTCTGATAGCAGAATTGTCGCTGATATCTACATATATCGAAAAATAATTTTGATTACGCGCAAGTTTAATTAAATTTATTTCACATAAAAAAATATCAAGATTTTTAAGTGGACTACTACAAGAAACATACGTCATAATTCATAATATATTCAGATATACGAACCGGCAATCCAAGAATACCGAATATTTAAACATAAAATATTTATCCGTTGTCCGCATGAAAAAATTCCATTGATGTATCTCGTGTTATCAAGGCAAATGGAATTCTTTTGGAAACACAAAAAAAACTACTTCTCGTCTTCTTTCATTATACTAAACAGACAAACTGACAGAATAATTAAAAATGTTCAAAAGTATACTTGACTTTTAGCCAATGATTATTAGAGAGAGTCTATGATGATTTTTTTAATTGTCCAAGAATGATGGCTCTAAATCTAAACACAGTGAAGAGTTGGTGTGCGTCGCAAAAGCAATAAGTAATTGCTTTGAGAAAAAAAAGATGTTAAAATTAAATGAAAAGAATGTTAAATTCCAAGAAAAATAAACAAACATGTTAAATTGAAATGCGATACTAACTATTTGCGTTAAGCCCACTCTCACCAACATTCATTGAATTGATGTATAAATGATAAATCGGAAATCAATGTTCAATATTCATGGTGTGATCATAAATTTTTTTTTTCAACATATCGACGTATTGATAAGCCACAGGTGTATGATATGATGTTACACGAATATCAAACTAGTCGTTGACTCATTTGAATGTTTAACGTGTGAGCCGAGCACATTGTGCACGCACATGTATGCTATAAAATCACACATATAAACGACGTTGAACTCGTTTGTTGCGCGATTCATTGAAAAGGTCTTCGAATTTGATTGTATTGGTTTGTTTTTAAAAGCGTAGCCAATCATATGCAAAGCGTCACTGCTTCGATCAAACAAAACAAATAAAAAAAATGTGACAATTGACGACTTCAGCTCGCTTCAGCTGGTTATAAATTCTTTGCATTCAGACGTCGGAGAATTAGAAGCTTGCAACGGCTCAACTAAAGCGGGTGTTTTAAATCCTCAGCGATAAATATCATAAATTTAATTATAAAAAGTTCGCTAAAAATCATAGTATTTCCTTTGATCTGTTGGTTAATCAATATTTGTGGTTTTTTACTGTCGTTTTTTTTTTCATTGAGAAATAAAAATTTAAAGTTAATATGTTTTCGAGTAGAAATATCGCTGGAATTTGCATTTTTGCACTTTTCATTGTTGAATCGATGTGCCGACTGCGTAAGTATTAAGTGAATCTCAAGAATCTCAACAAAATATTTACAATGTGTTTACCCAAGAAATATATTTACACGGTAAATTGGAAGGTGCGAGTTTTTTGGTGCACCTTTTATTTGTGCAAACTGCCAAAAGGTTGATTTTTTCTATAGCTTCATCGTTTTTTTCCATTTTTTTCATATTTTCGTTCGACCAAGCGTCAATAAGCATAATGACAATTTCAATTCTTCAAATTCTTATGATCAATTGTTTTATTTTTCCACATATTAAAATTTGATACAAATATTCAAAGCTTCAGGTGTAATATATATGCGCATTTCCATGGAAAAATGTCAATTCAGTCCGAAGCGCAGGTTCAAGTTCAAAGTGTTCGTTCAACAATTTCTTTGATTTATGCAAAACATGCAAACAACCAATCAATGTGTAAAGAAAAAGCCATCGCATTGAATTATGCAAATTATGACGTATGATTAACAATGTCAATAAAAAAATGTAACATAGCCGGCTGAAATGTCTACATATTTCAGACTCTAAAAATGTTCAAATAAAAAAAACGATTTAATTCGATTTGAATTTTAATTTATTTCAATTTAAATTATTATTTGATTTAAAATCCAAAATCACAAATTTCAAAATTTGGAAATCATTCAATTGATCTTTCGATAATTTTGTTGTGTAGCAACTGTTTTTCATGAATTGTCTAAAAATAGAATGGACAACTTTTTGTGTTTTCATTGTAAAAACACACACATAAAAGTAATTATATAATTTAAAAACTGTAAATTCCGTTTTTTCAAAATGGAAATGATATGTTGACGTAAATTCCAAAAATAATTTGTTTTTACCATCATAATGGCGGTATTGAACTACTCTACTATGGTCAACTTGTTCAAATTACTCATTACCCATACATTGGGCTGCAGATTGGTTCGTTTCGCTTATCAATAAAATCCATTTAGATCGTTTTTTTCAACACATATTATTTTTGTAAAATTAACTTTTGTTTATATCTGTGTTTATTTGTTGATTAAGCGAATGCATTTCATGAAACATAAAACAATATGAGATGAACCAAGGCTTAAGCATTTAACCTCTCTTTGGTTTTGTCATTTAGCCAGACATGAATTGAAACTGTATTATTGCTATGTGTGCGATTTGATGCGATTCGATTTTTTTTTGTTATTTCCGTTATTGACAGCCATACACATATATATGTGCCGCATAATATAATGTATGCAACACAATCGCACAATTTATTGTTTAAATTTACATGAGACGATTCCGCATTTTTTTTCGCTCACCGATTTATATAGATGTTTCATGTGTTTCAAGGGTGTCGTTGACATTGAAAATTGGGTCATTCACAACATGGTGCGCTTTAGCATACTGTAAAAAGATTCAGTTTCTCTCTCATTCATCGTTTTTTCTTAAATGCCTAGAAAATAGACGTTCGAAAAAAATGCGGACATGTTTCTTGAAACAGACCGCGCATGCATATTTATGAAAATGTTATTCAAATTATGAAAAATTAAATAAATTCCAAAGTATGTTTTTATTCCATTCGTACACACACTGAAATATACAAAATCTAAAAATAACAAATAAAAATCACATTTAAAATTTGACGAACAACGAAAAAAGCAAGTGAAACGAATCAATGATGATGAAGCCAATTATATTAATGTCCTATCGATTAGGAAAGTCAAACGTGATAAGCAAGCGAATCTTCTAGCATTGATGTTCAGTTCTTGTTTCCTTCCTTCAAATACGTGAAATGATTTATGCATTCAAAGCGCGTCATATTCTCAATTATGACTGAAAGACGAGACACGACGTGCGTCAATTCTATTCTCGGTTTTTGTGTGTATGTCATTAAGGCGATACTTTCAATCAATTGTGCTTTGTTTTTTTTTTATCACGAACTACATAATGAGCATTCATCTAAAAGCTGATTTATGCAGGTGTCTAAATACACCTTTTGTAAATCGATTTTTATGAAGCTTAATTACACTAATCCACATGCACATATATTGAATATCAAAAGTTGTTTCATCGTTTTGCATATCAGGCAAATATTCAATGTAATTTTCACATTCGATACGATGATTCTTATTTGATATTCTAAAGTTGTGGCTTTTGTGGGATGATCAATAATTCGTAGCATGTTTTTAATGACCTGTCTCAGTGACGATACACCAATGTAAGGCTAATTGATTTGTTAAAAAATTAGGTTTCATTTGCGCACTTTTTCAACAAGCTTTAAAATTATAACGCTGTCGACCAAATCGATTTGATTAATATGTCGTTTAGCCGGAGCAAGTTAACAATTGAAAAAAATGCCAATTTTCATTGTAATTATTGTGACAACAGTTTTGTGCCCCCACAAAGTCTCCGTCTAGTTAAAAATAATTAAATTCATTTGCATAACGCAAACGATCGTGTCGATATGCATAATTTTTAAAAGAAAAAAAAAACGCAACACGAATTAATTTACACAACTGGACACTTTTTTGTCGTTGCAACTGTTAATAAATTATTACGGGAAGAGAGGCCGCGAACACTAATTCACGATTACACGGTAGTCGAGATCATAACAGCAATGCATAATTAGATTGGATTTGACACAAACATGCTGTTGTTTATCGTGAAATAGTTATCGCATTTTATTTGTCACATTTCTGGTTTCACTTCGACACGATGTGTAATCTTAGACATTTTATTTAATTCACACGTTACATTTCTGGTTCGTTTGATCTAAAATTGGAATGTGCACTTTCGGCTAACAATAATAATTTTATTTTCTTTTATTAGGAATAATTGGCCTTGAAAAAGTTCTAGAGATTTTGCACATACACCAATTTATTATCTCTTTTAATTAAAATATAAAACACAAAACTATCACTTTTTTTCTCTAAGTTGAAACAACAATATTAATACTCTACGCTCAAACAGGCGATTTAACTGATGTAATTGAATCTCATTAGATTTTCAAGTTTATGAGTGAAATAGAAAATCGATAAATAACCTCACGGTTCGACAAAAGTCACTTTTTTTGTGAAAGTAATTTGATGTCTAGTTTTATTTTGACTTAATGTAAGCATGGTGTCAAGTACACTTATCTACATTAATTTATCTAACGTCTGGAATACTCTATTAGCCTTGAACTTGACCATACGTACAATATTTTGCGGCAAAAAAACTTGTTTTTTGAATAAAGCGCATCATTCTGATTATTCAGCGAAATCGCAATATATTTTTTTTTCTCATTCATGTGTAAATTTGATTAAACACATTTGAATAGATCCAGTAATTCATATTCCATGAGTAACGGACGTTTTTTGTACACTGAAAATATTCTTAACACGTGCACTTTGGTACTGAATATGAACGGATTTATTATTTATTCTTTATGACGAAAGTCATCAAGTTTCTTAGCACTTTAGTGTACTCAAAGATGTTCTATTTGTTTGCTATCTGCCTCTCTTTGTTTAAGATCTTATCAAAGAAATGTCTTTGTTTACTTTACATTTCCAGCGTCATCAATAAAAGTATGTTCACGAAACACGCCAAATCCAAGCGCCTGCATTTTGGACGCAATCAGTGACTTACGTCCAAGATTGGTGACAGGAGATTTGGGCGATGGTGTTAAGACGGTAGCCCTTGAACCACTCGGTTTAGATAATATTCATTTTAAAAGAGGCCCTGAATTTACAGCCACATTCAACAATCTCTTAGTCAACGGTCCAAGTAACTTTGTAGTTTCAAATCTGAAGTACGTGCAAATTCAATTTTTTTTTTAATTTTCAATAGTCTTTGCATAAAAAAAGCTAAGAAATTTGTTTACTTAACACTTTTTTTCGTTAATTTGCTACAGAAGTGACATTCCAAACCTGAAATTCAATTTTACTGTGACTTTGCCAAAATTGACTTTTACCGGCAAATATTCGTTGAAAATGCGCTTGCTCTTGCTGAACATTCAAGGACGTGGTCCAATCAGTGGTGTTTTGGGTAAGACTATTTTTTTATTATTTATTTTCGTAGAATGTTTAATAATGGCATTTTCCATGCATTTGCAGATAATACTCGTGCAAATGTCTGTATTTTGGGAAAGAGAATTCCTGGTGCAAACGGTGTCGATTATGTTAAATTCGGAAATTTAAGCATTAAAGTGTCGGTTGGTGGTGCCAAATTCCGTTTGGAAAATCTATTTAACGGTGATCGTACACTTGGCGAAATCGGAAACACTGTTATCAATGAGAATGCACAACTCTTTATAGAAGAATTGATTCCTGGTTTCGAAAAAAGTCTATCGAAAACATTCCTCGAAATTGCAAATGACATTTTAACCGAAGTAACATATGACGAAATGTTTCCCGATGTTTAAATAAGATCTCCGTATGTAGCTGTGTTGAAATCCGTTAGCCTTGGGAAAATGTGTAATTGAATTACAGTAATTTAAGATCAATAGCATGAATATATAGTGAAATTTCATCTGATAAGGTCTATAAGCTTTAGTTTTATAAGGTTTTTTATGGCTATTATATGTTTATTATTACGAATAAATTATAAGTGCACCAGTATTAGTGATTAGTAGGTTGTGCAAATTACATTTTAATTTTGTGAAAATGTTTGCTGCATACGACTGTATATATCGACGTGCATGTGCGAGATGTATACTTTACTTGTTAATAACATTGTATAAGTTTAAGATTATAACATATGATTGTTGACGGAAATGAGTAATAAAAAATGTTCAGAAATATTCGAAATTATTATTGTTTTATTTATAAACTTAAAGACGTGATAGTTTGAAAAAAAAATTAGCGGAAATCTATGCGACTCGTGCCAAAATAAACCTGTTAACATGCGTCAAGACATTCCACAATTTTTTTTTCAAATGTATTAAAAATCGACAAGATTGTTGAATAAATTTACGACTCAATTAAAGCATTTCATTTGTATCCCAAGAGCGGCTTGTGAATACGCCATTGTTGAGCCAATGATCCATCACACTCTTCAATCGTCAACAAATCGGAGTCGTCTTGTAATGTTAGACAATTCTTTCCGGTTGAATGTTTGATCAGGTTTGCCTAAAAATTCGAGAAAAAATTAGATTGCTTTTGTTCCTTTGGCATTTGCGACGTGTGATCAAAATTAAAGAAACGAAAAAGTCACGTACGCTCTCATCATACGTCCATCGTTGATTTCCACCTTCACCGTGACAGCCAAGCATCTTTACCGGTTCACCTTTTTTGCATTTTTAAATTATCTTAAAGTGGTTACAAATTAAAATTTAGGAAAATCAAGAAGGAAGTACCTGGCATTGTGGCGTCCAAACAGAATTTTTTCTCACGAATTTCGCCTTTTTCCGTAATCATGAAAACCTGATTGCCTGTGAAACAGTATAAAATTGAAATCAATAATTCAAATGAAATGGATGAATTTTAAAGTCTTACCGCCTTGGTGATGACAGACTTTTACTTCTAGTTTACGATTTAAAACACGTGAATCGCCCATTGAATCCAAACACGTTTCATCTTCATAGAGACTTTCGATCTAAAACCAAAACGATTACGGTAATGTCAGTTAACGGAAGGAATTTAATCAAATCGAATTTATTACCTCGACCACTTTATAGTTTTTAATATTGAATGGACTTTCGGAGAAAACATTTTCCAAAAACCATTTGAATGATTTGCATTGAAGTCTCTCTCGTAGTAGTTTGCGTTCGGTGACATTTGTCCGTTCTCTCCATGATCGCGGATTATATGTATAAAATGTGTCTTTGTATTCATCGAGCCAAACTTCGGCCATTCTCGCTAAATTATGTGAAATTATATGATCAGCTCCACCAGGCAGAACATACGGTGCATTGTCACGAAATATGTGACCAACCCGAGAACACGGAACCATTACAAGTCTACCTCCACATGCCCAAATACGAACAGAAGCCTCTGGATTCAGAAAAATGTCAGTGAGTTTTATTTTTGACAGTTTACCGGAAAATTGTAATATCCCAAAATTTGAACTTGAATTATTATCCAAACGAGTATAGTACACTTCAAAAAATACATACCTAGATTCTCACCTCCCCAGATCTGTGAAAATAGATGTTTAGATATTTTTTTTATACCGGAAATGAATATGCGAATGACATTTTACCTTCATTTTATCATCATATGTGCCCAAGTTGTAGAAATATTCACGATCAATCGCAAAAAGTCCTCCGGCCATGGCTAAAATTGAAATCAAGTAAAAAGTAAAAGTTCAAAGCCATTAGAGATGATTATAGAGAATTCATTAAAAAAATATTAAACAAATGATTAATTGTAAGTATAGTACGAATGTTAAAATATGTAACCTGGAGAAGGGATAGGAGCTGTACGGTCATTTTTTAATGAATCTAAAACCGATTGCGGAATCGGATCCCATGTGAACGTTAACGACAGGTCAAATGAACCGCGCGAGTTTATTGCAGCCGTACGCACTTCCATGGTGTTATAGTCTATTACGTCGATAACTGGAGCTGAGACTGTTGTTCGACGTTCAACTAATGGCGCCAATAGTGACTCCAGCCAGCCTTGAATACATTCGCAGTGCGCATCGAGAAAAACTAGAACAGTAGCCTATAGGAAATAGAATTTCGATAGTTAAATGATCCGTATTTTTTGCTCACTTCTTTGAAAAAAAAAAAAAACTCTTCAGAAATATACCGTCGATTTGCTGGCGCCCAATAAACGCGCTTGAATCAATCCCACACGAGACAATGTCCGCGCCAATTTCACGGGAACGGGAAAATTTGCAACATAATCTTGCAACGGTTTTCCCAAATGGTCGAGTGTACTAAAATCATCCACCAAAATTATTTCTTTTATCAGTTCCCGGGGCGATTGTGTGATAACACTCCAAACGGTACGAATTAGTGATGACCACGCCTCATTGTGATATACTATAACCACGGAAACTTGAGGTAATTTTTTCGGGATGTTTAGCTCTTTGCATCTGAATCAAATAAAGAAAGTTTTTCGAAATTTTCTAAAATTACTTTAAAAATGAATTTAAAAAAAGTTGGTTCTCACTCACTCTGGATAGCGAACATCAGGCATACTTCGATTCAATGACATCATTTCATTTGCAATGATATTAAATTGATTTTCCGAAAATCGTTTGGTTGCCTCTTCTTTTCGCTCTTCGGGAACAACAACGGCTTGACCTAATCAAATGTGATTGAAACAATTCTTTTTATTCTCCAAGATTTTTACCAGGGAATTGATATATCATTAAATCAAATTCGAAATAAATGTAGAATTTAAAAAAAAATCACCTAAATTCCCTGGCTCGTCCGGTCGACTGATCGGAGGTGGTGCAGGTGTCCACTCAACTAATTCACTATCTGCATACTTCTCTGGTACCAAATCTAAAAATCCATCGGCATTTTTATGATATTTCGGCGCTTTGGCATGAATTAGGCTTCGAACAAAGAGTGAAACCTACAAATGAGTCACACATACTTGAATCAATTATCTTATTATTGAAATTTGTCTCTGTTAATTTACCAAAACTATAAAAAATGTAGTTTTCCAGCCGTTAGATTTGAAAAAACGTTCGTTTTGTGTCTCAACTTTTTCACAATCTTTAATGATTTGATCATTTTCCGAAGTTTCTAGACATTTTTCTGGATTTGTCTCCGTATCTGCCATCGCTTTTTACACTTAAATACAAAAATATCACTTCTAAATACCACGTCAAAGCAATGAATAAAAGTGAAATAATCTCGCAACTAAACTAGAATGATTCGCACTGATCGAGAATTTTATTTAAAATGCTTTGCTAGAGAAAAATGATGACTAGCTAATATTTCATTCGCAGTCAAAACTAAATCAAGTGAAACAGACGTTGGCCTTTTTAAATTCACTTGTCTATTATTTGTTGTGAAAACAGTTTTTTTCTTATATTTTAAGCTTCTAGTCGCTCGGTTGCCGGTACAATGAGTGTAAACAAACATGTTTTCATTTGAAATTATGTGAAATGAAATTCAACTGCTCAATTTGATTTCGTTACGCACAACATGAAATAGAGGTCGTGACATCGACAATACATATGTACCTTGCAACAAACACAATTAAATTTAAGAACTATATGGCATTTTGTGTGAGTATCTTCTTCTAAAAACATTCGCTTACGCAATGAATTTGTTGAGAAAAAAGTGCCGTTTCAAAAAAGGTAATTGTATCAACAAACGCGTTTAAAATAAATGTCGTTGATGCAAGTGTAATGTGTTTAGATACACATTAGATTCGCAAACACTGAACCACATTCTTGTAAACCTATAATCGCACAGTTAATTCGATCTAAATAATATGTCAAAGCACCTGTTTGTTTATATTATAATTTATTTGCATTCATTTTAAACAAAATTATTTATCATAGAAGAAATGAATCGATTAGAATAAAAATTGAAATAGCTGATGCATTGCATTCGAAGCTTGTAGTAAATTCCTGATAATTACATAGTTTGTAAGTGTATTCAGTATAGTTTCAAATCTCAAAAATATACAATAACTACATCTTATATGAAAGTCATAAGTATATCGGCATCGAAAGTGCGGTATCGTATATTTCCACTTTTATTCGCAGTGGATCAAATATAGGTTTCAAACTATTTGAATTTGTCCAATTAACTACATTTTTGCTATACCCAGTTAGTTGAGATTTGCTTTTTGTAAGAACAGTTTGATCTATAATAATGGTGCCAGCTAAGTTACTTCTGATTAATAAAAAGTATTCAAAATGTTACTTTTAAATGTTTTTTATGGGTCAGACATAGTGATTAGTCTTTCCTCTTAACTGAAATCATTGAAGTTCTAATAGGTCAGTGATTATATTTAGAAAACAACAATTATTTCGATCTAAACGGAAAGATTTACAAATATTTCATAAACAATGGATATTATACATTTAACTTTGGAAACAGATAGTGAGACTAAGAGATTACGACTGGGTGGTCCATTTACGATTAAAAGGCTTATGGAATTAGAGCCTTATGGAATTTGTGAAGCAATTTTCGCAATTGATCTCTTTCATAAAAATGATGCCAAACAAATACAATATATTTTGGAAATTGTGTCATAACCGAGGCATGTGTTTATCGTTACTCAACCATTTTAACCAAATATTTACTCAGACAGTCATAATTGGAGTAAGTTAAAATACACGAAAAAGTAACGCTTTAACATTTACTTTCATTCGGACTTTTCCAATAATTTCTCATTTGGATGCAAAAGTCCAAAACTAAAAATTGTATTGTACCATTCAGTTCCCTCTATTTTGATGGCTATTGCAATATTTTTTACAGACACAATTTTATATACAGCACTTCAATACAGAATTAGAAATGAATTCTGCTTATTGAGTGATAATTTTTGAAAAATTGAAATTAGTTTGTTTTCGGATGTTTATCAAAAAGTGTTTCATCACGGTTTCACTAACGAAGTATATAGATGATAATTCCATCATGGAATAAAAATAAATAGAAATTAAATAATAAAATCTGCTTTGCGAAACAGTAACCAGAATTCAATTATAAAAATAATCCAAAAAATAGAGCTTGTAATCTAATTCACAGTTTTAAATTAGTTAAATATTTATTTAGGCCAAATAATTGAATAAAAATTGAAATCGGTTCGTTCAAATGTTAGTCAAAATCGTTTCATCAATGTTAATCGTGCAAATATGGCTGTAAAAGTGTATTTAGTGGCCTCCGCAATTTGGATGATTACAGCCGTATCCCCCGTTATAATTGGAATTGATGTTTACATTTTTGTTTATATTTTGATTATAATTGCCCGAACACTGTGGACATTCGCACGGCTGGTGTGCTGGGGGAGGCGGCGGTGGTGGTACATTGCAGTTTGGCTCACAGCATCGTGGACGAGAATATCTTCGCCTTCTTCGAGGCTCTAATAAACATTGAAATTTGTAATATATTCAATATATTTTTTTAACTCTGAACTAACCCGGGTTGGGTGAAGCTTCTGGATCTGCTGATGGTTTGGGTAATCCACTGGAAAGAGCCTAATCACAACAAAGTTATAACATTTTGTATAATAGGAATCCTAAATAATTTTCATCAACATCAATTGAAAACTTACGATTAAGCCAAGGAGAACGAAAACAAAAACGAAGACGAATTTCATTTTGATTAGATCTTTGTTAAGTCACAACTAATTGATTTCGATCACTTTCCATGTCAATTTATACAAAAATCATGCTATTCATTATTATTGGATTTCTATCCAATGTATCAATTTATGAAATTGTTATGTGTTCATTTATTGTCAAAATTCGGAACGTCTGTTCCATAAACTAATTGTTTGGATGCAACAATAGAATTATTGAACGATGATTCGAAAACAATAATCACTAAAGAGACAATCAAATCTCGACTCAATGAAACGATACTGACAATGCATATTGAATGAATTGAAGTATGTTGGTGAATTTGAATCTAAACCAATATTACTTCAATGATTGAACTAAATAAATATGGATTTCATTGTTTTCATTTGAACACCGATTGGTCAAACCGATCTAACTAAATTATTTGTCTTACTCAATTGTACGAAGGTGTGTGTTGTGGTCCACAATTTGTGGAAAGCAACGACGATGCGAAAATTATAGTTCCTTTGAACCAGGCATGTTTAAGTCTTTTTCATTAAATACCAAGAGAAATTGTTTGGTTCGTTCGGATGAAATAAGCCGATTTGTTGAAGAATTTGGAAAAAAAGAGCACAATTCGCCATAAATTGAAAAGGAAGTTTCTCCAGAAATAAGAATATTTAATGTTTATTATTACTGGCTCATTAAATCGAATAATCGATATCATCTTTTCGAAGTACTCCATGCAATCATTATACAAATGATTAGAAAAACCCATAATAAATCAAAAGAACATTCGCTACAAGTATCGATTATGATGCAATCCAAATACAAAAGGTCATTCTGAGCAATAAAATCTTTTTGTTATAAAGTATATAAAAAATGTAGTTTTATCTCCAATGTATGCAATGCCAAATATCACTCACTTTATCTTCTAGTGATAAATGCGTGATATTTATGTTAAAGCTAAATAATAAATGAAGTCATTTCGATCGAAATGTAAAAAATGCCAATTTCTGAATGAACAGTGCAATTTATGTACAAAGTTGGAAACAGCCTCGAATATATTTGGAGATGTAATATTACTAAGGCGTCTCCATCAAATCAAAGCTTGTAATGATAATAAAATGACTTTATGAATTCTCATTGTTTACTTAATCTTTATTGTAAGCTATTTCAGATAAATATTATTATTGTTTTGGAAAGTGATAAGATCACCACAATGAGGTATGTATTTGTTTTGGAACAGACTATGATTTATGCAGACAAACAAAAATCACATTTTTATTCATATTTCGTTAGCTGTTTTCGATGTTTTTCTTCCCGTTGGAACCAATCGAATCCATCGATATGCCTATATTCGAGATGAACAAACATTCTGATTAGAATTTATTATCATTTATCACAATTTCGATATATACAAAATGTCAAAAAGCTTATGGAATGTTGTGATTTTCAGTTGATCGATCGAGGGTAATATGGAGATCTGGGCCTGATCCGTGGACTAAAATTATGATATGCTGTGATTTTCTGAGAGGCCACTTATTTACGATGATGAAAGTGCCTGACAATGATATTAAATAGAATCTACTATCCCTTATATTGAGAAATCCTATATACTACTTATTTATTCACCTACCTATCTTATTTAAATCAAAACTCAAATTAATTACTCATATTTAACTTATTGCTTTGATTGTGAAATCCTAAAATTGTTAAAACACCTAAGTTCAGCCAGCATTTGGCGGTGAAATAAATAATAATAAATACCTTTTGTTTCTTTGACCACAAAATGTACGTATAATGAACCACATATGCAGAAAGTCGCCAATATAATCATGCATCCATGCAGACCAATTCGTGTGGCCATCAAAACTGGAAATAGTTTTAGGCAGGCAAAAGATACTAAATTCATGAAAACGTTGCACACGGTAACGCCAATGGTTCGAACCTAATAAGAGAACAATTCAAAATCGGAACCAATGTTCAAAAAGCCTGAATACATTCAAACCTTTGAGGGTAGATTCTCTGCCATGCAAAGAAACATTAGTGGTACAACTCCAGAGGACGCAATAAAAATAACGAACGATAAGCTAACGACTGGAACCCATTCAAATGCTGACAACTCATATCCATTGTGACTCAAATAAGAATATGAAGCAAATGAAAGATGTCCAAATGCAGATCCTAATAAAGAGATGATCAATAACGCTTTTCTGCCCATTGAATCAGAAAATCGTGTTGTACATAGAGTGCCAATGAGCTGAACAACCGCTATAGCAATTGATGAAATATATGGATCAACTTGAGAAGCACCAACTTGTTCAAAAATATGCGCTGCAACGTTTTCCAATATGCAAATAAATATATATTAAATATTTATTCATAATACACGGAAAAAGTATCTACCAGCATAAGTAATAAAAACCAAAAATCCAGATAAATGAGCCAAACTCGATAGAATTATTCCATTCATAATTCCTTTTAGTGCATGCTTCTCAACTAAAATTGCAAATTATCCAAGCAAGTATACATTTTACAAAATTGCGTACTTTTTCTTGCATTTAAATATACATACAAATATCGTTCAATGGTGTTTTTTCATCCATTTTTCGGTCTTTTGCAATCGATTTAAGGCGCTCAAATTCAGCATTGAACGCAACAGCTTCGTTTACATTGTTTTCAGTGAGACCTTTGTAAAATTTTAACGAGTCTTCAGCTCGCTGATTTTTTTTAGGTAAATTTTTTATGAAATAAAATATAAATTCAAAATGTGATAACAGAAACATTCAAGTTTGCTTTACCTTCAATTGGGATTTTTGAAGATAAAACTGTGGTGTGTTTGGCAAATAATAGAACCAAACGCTAAAAACGATTGGAACAAATGCAAATACGCACGGAATCGTTTTGTATTGAAGAATTGCGCCCAAAATGTAACCACCTAAAATACCAATGTTTCTAGACATATGAGAAATGCTATTGAGTCGTCCACGGATGTTGTTATTTGCTATTTCCGAAATGTATAAGACCATCTTCAACAATAAAAGAATTTTGATAATAACTGTACATTATCACTGAAATTACATTATCTTTACAAACCGAAGACTGGATGCCACCTCCTGTTATGCCGTTGAAAAATCGTGCTAGCAATAAATGATAGTATGTGTCACCGAAAAAGACTAACGCCCAAAACGAAAGACATGGTATTGATAGCAACAACATTGACCGTTTACAGCCCAAATATGTTATAATGAATCCAAACATGAATGTTCCCAAAAGTCCAGCAAGAGCACTAGTCGAAGTAAAAACGTTTGAGATGTTTGCTACTGACTGAAATGCAAATTGGTTATATTACCTTATAGATCCCAACCACGATAACATTTCATTCGTTAATACTCCAGTTTTTAATGGTGTACTTTCCGACAAGAGCAAAGGCAACGCTGGCGATAACCAACCGTTCATAGATCCATGTCCAAGAAAAATTATATTTGCTATTTGCACGAAAAATGGAGAATTGAAAATTATTCGTTCATACATTTAATTTTGGAATTCATACCTGCAACCGCTGCAATGTATTGATTTTTCACATTTTTACACTGATAATTATTGACTTGTGTAACTTTATTATCCATTTTTTTTAAAACCAAATTAGAGAGGACGAATATTAGAATTCTTTTCGACGAATATCGCTTGTGAGCGTGAGCGATAAATTAAGTTCAATACCAATTGGTATATCATGGAAAGGTCTTTGCTATATCTGAAATGATGAAATGAGATAAGTGTTATCTTGTTTGAAAAATACACTCAAATCAAAAATCTTTTCGTTAGATACAGGAGAGACGGTGTCGTTCATTAAAATGATAAAAAAAGAAAAAAAATCCGTGATTGAAACGCTCTACGAGATATTTGTAACTTTGATTATTATATCACTACGGAGAGATGGTAGACTCTCTCATAAAAGATATGTCACACCTTATCTGAATACTCTTTATTAATAAAATCAGGTCTTATTAGATAGGATATATAATAATGATGTTGAATATTTGTTTGTTTTTTTCTTAATTCTACAAAGCTTTTTTCTTTGATCCCAATTGTCTGATAGCCTTATTTATTGGTGTTTATAGTTTCTTCAATTACAAAATACACATATATGCTCCCAAGTACCCATGTAATGACAAAAATGAGCATGCTTTCATGCAAAGCAATCATAGCCATGAAAATTGGAAACAATTTTAAACAAATAAACGATATAGTGTTGAAGAAGAAGACATTGCATATGGTCAAACCAATAGTTCGAATCTGAAAGCAAACAACAACCATCACATTAAATACAATGTGCAATGGATAATATTCAATGTCCCACCTTTGTTGGAAGATTTTCAATTGTACACAAAAAAAATCAATGGAACAATGCCAGCCGATGCAATGAATATGACAAATGACAAACTTATTACCGGTGTCCATGCAAATACACTCAAATCATATCCATCGCGCTGCAAATACGAATATTACAATGCAAATGAGAAAAGACCGAATGCTGAACCCAACAATGAAATGATCAGCAGTATTTTCCGCCCAAGTGAGTCGTGCACAATGTGCCCAGCAGTTGCATTACAGCTATTATAATTGATGAAATGTATGGATCAACATGCACATCTCCGACTTCTTTGAAAATTACAACTGAGTAAGTGACAATTACCAGAGATGCTGATAAGTGCACTAAACTTGCCAATATAATGCCATTCAAGAGCCCTTGAATTGATTCTCGATTAACTGCAACGAATACATTGCGTTTTGAATGGGGTTCGCCAGTTCAAATTCATTCAACTATTACTTACAGATGTCTTTTAACATAATTTTTTCATCAACTTTCAATTTAGTCGCAATCGCTTTTAACCACTCGAATTCGGCACTGAATGCTATCACTTCATTCACAAGTTTTCCAGTGTATCCATTGTAAAATTTCAATGATTTTTCGGCTTCCTGTTTAAAATAATTTATTTCTCAATTAATTTTTAACACATCTGAAATTGGACCTCATTTTATCGAATGCGAAACTGAATCTTTTGAATCTAATTTTCTTATCTTTCCTTGTCTTTATAAATTAATGTCTTGTGCAAGATGAGAGAATTTTCCACGTAGCCTGAAATTTTAAAATATACATCATTGCAATAAAAATTTAACACATATTAACTACAGTGTTAATAACATCATCCATGACATTGCAGTTTCTTACTTAATTATCATTGGAAATATCAGAAATGTATAATATTATTGTCGTCTGCACGCCACCTCCTAAAACAATAACTGAATGAATAATCGTTATCAAATTTGAATGTATTATTAACCACCAGACCATCCCGTGAAAAATCTCGCGAACAAAATGTGATAATAAGTGTCAGGGTAAAGTAAATAATTATCCAGCAAAACATTGACGGCAATGTTAAAAATATCATAGTTCTCTTGCAACCCAGACACACAGTAGAAAAAACCGAATTCCGCCAAGGATGGATCCTACCCATGACCATAGCTCAGTTGATAGTGGACCCGTTTTCATTTGCGTTTTTTCCGATAAAAGGTAAGGCAATGCTGGAGACACCCACCCGATCATTGTTCCATGAGTTATGAAAACTATATTGGCTATATGAAGAAATCACATCTCAACTCAATTAAAAACAATAGTTCAGTATAAATGTTGCCTATTCGCTCTTACCTACAAAAGCTGCCAAATATTGATGCTTCACATTTGTAAAATCATATTCGATTTGCGCAACTTGATCACCCATTTCGCTACCTCTTGACACGTTTGAGTTTAAACATCAAATGTCACCGTCATATAGGGTATCATCTTTTCAGTAACCGAGATAACGACTATCTCGTGCACTGACTATTTATGTGACTTTAAACGTCATTCAAATCATATTATAATTTGATATGAATGGTAAGTGTGCTGAACGATAAATTATGGCAATGGAATCGTATAACACTTATCTAAATTAACTACCGGTCCAAATTAAATTAGACGACGATGATAGAGTAATTTGTGTGTAAACTGGAATTAGTGCGTATTCAAACAATAGTAGTGGGCTTAAACAGTAGCTGTTTTTACTGGATTTTGCTTCAAATTTTTTACTAAACTACAAATCACTGGAATTAAATGTAAACAAGAGTGATTTTATGATTATAAGATAAAATGAAGCTTCATTTTTCAAAACAACGTAAATTTCAAAATAAAACTCAGGCACTTTAACGTGTCCATTCAGCAATTCAGCTAAAAAAATATTTGAAAAAATCTGGCGTCTCCACTTTTAAAATCAAACTTTCAACAACGAATTCGTACACCATTTGAAAGATCAAAGAGAATATTTTATTTTTAAATTTCGAATGAATTACAGTAAATTCGTTAATTCGTTTCAATTAAAAAAAAAAGTGGACAAACAACGATTTAACTGTTTCCTTACTGATAGTGACATGCTTTTGTCTATTTATTCAATCTCTGTTTGGTGGTGTAATCAATCCAACATAATTGAACAAGAACAACTCACTCATGTTCCCAAAAATGTCTTTCCGTTTACGGATAAAACTGGACGCCCCAAAATGATTGCGTTTTAATTGTCGAATGCAAACAACTAAAAATTCATCCAAATATCACAAACTTTCGATATAAATAAACATTACGTAATTATACGTAGTCAATGAATTATTAATTTTATAACTTAGTAAATATTCTCCGGCTGTCATTAGTTCTATGCCATAAAAAAAATTATTCATCAAAAATTTAAAAATGATGAACCCTGTTAATTTCTATGATGTTTAATTACAGTAAAATGAAAAGTGGACTGAAACTGATTCCTTTGCGAACGAATTTTAAATACAATTTTTCGAGTAAACAAGTTTCCCAAAGTGGATAAGCGCCTGCACGTAATAGTATTTCGTCTAATTTGAATGTGTTTAACAAGTCTTGACATGTGATACAATAACAGTAATTTAAAATACAAATATTTGTTTGAAGTATCATGTGAACGAGAGCATGAGTGTATATAAAAGTGATGATGCTGTTGATGATTTTTGGGATCTCAATATTTTGCTCGATTTAAAACTTTGGCTAGACATCGTAACCAACTAAAGCCAAGCTGATTACTTTTCTCGTTTAAATTCATCGAAGTCGGTGCAATGTGTTCAATGTTCAAACAAAATTCGGTAGTCTTATAATAATTTTTCGATATGTATAAAGTTTTATGAATTATTTGGTCTATGGTGAATAGGAATAAGACTATAAAATTATAGAAAATAAAATATATATAGTAATACCGACCAATACAGACATAGAAGGCCGACGTATCGGCTGTAAGCATTAATGTTTTAATGCCCAAATGTTTTGGTTTAAAAAAAATAAGTAAAATGTGTGTCTGTCGAGAGAAACCAATTTTTGGTGACGGTGAAAATGTTCGATAAAAACTTTGTTCTCGAGTAGTTTTGTTCGTCGCTCATACTCTTGCCCATACAGCCTTCGAGATAGTGTCAGTGTCAAAAACTAAACAAAATGTTCTCTCTCTCTCTTTTGCTCGATCTGTCTTTCGTCTTCTCTTGTTTTATCACGTTCGTTCCATTTCCAAATGAAAGATTTCTGGAAAAGGCTTACAACAATCACATCTAATAGAACCGAAAATGCAGTAATGAACTATGTTGGAGTATATAGTAGAGACATATCGACATTCTATGGAATGTCTAAGCAAACCAATGGCAAAATACAATGAAATTTTCGAATTGAGATGTATGCAATGTGGGAAAGAAATAAAGCTGTTCCCACAACTACGAGAAATAGATGTTGTTCAACAACTAGGATACCCAAGCATACCATGCTAACGTGGAACTTTTCACCTGAAGCAATGAATGAAAATGAGCAAAATGAACGGAACGAATGGACGAAAAGGGAATGTGTCTCATTGGAGTGGTTCAAACTGATATAACATTGGCGTTATTTTCATTTTTCCGTTTGCTTTTACAACGTATTGAACACAAAGTTTTAATTGTAATCGACTTTCGTTTAAATATTAAATCAGATGAAATTACCTTTGAGTTAATTTGATGCTGAACCGACAAATTCATTCCGGTTTGTTGCAAATGTATCAATTTGTTCGAGATTTTTCCCACACATACGAGAAACCACATTGTCAACAATCAGGTGCATGCACATTTCCGGAATGGATTGGCCATGCAATTTATGCCATACATTGAACACTACGAGCATACATTTACGTGCACAAATTTTGCGGCTCATCGTCCTAATTCGTGAAGAGACAATCAAAACAATGATAATAATCATTTGGTCTGGACTTTCTCTAAATGCATGAATTATTACTTAACATTTTTCGAGAAATAGATCGGAGAGCAAGTTAAACAAGGACACACACACACATACGCATTCGGACATTAGATGCAGCCCATAAAGTTGAACGGAACAACGAACAAACGGAATAAATAAAGCAGAAAAACTTTTTGCCGATTGTTCACGTTCAAACCTTCATGCGACATCGTAAAAATAAGAACATTTATATGTGTAAAATTATATATTTTAAATGATTATTTTCACAAATATTTCCGCTTATAAAAGATGCACGCTGGACGCACACAAAAAGCTAACAATTTTCAAAAATATTATCGCTGATAATCCTGATTATTATTTGTTCAACATAGTAAAATGTAATTTTCTATTAGCCACAATAAACAATGATTTTTCGTACAAATTTTCTCACCGAATAGTTAATGCAGTCAAACGCGCACGCTTCCATGTGTGACTACACATACCAGTGCGAAATGTAAACGATCCAATTTGTAAGCACTAATCGGACCGCATGATTTATGCGGCTGATACCATTTAATCGAACGCTTAATCATAAAATGGAATAACGAAATAGTCACCAACACCAACAACAACAACAACATCGGTAGCAATAGCAAGAGGCCAACTGCAGTGCTAAGCCACCCCCTCAAAAAATCGAAATGAAATCACATGAAACTGGTCAAACTTGTTTACTCAATTTAAAATGTTTTATCAAAATTAATAGAAATTAAATATTCAAAAGTTAATCATGGCATGCAAAATATTTAGCGCATTAAATGAATTAAAACTGTGATGATGCTGAAGTCAATGCGAGTGTGTGTATTGAGAAAAAAGAATAATAAAATATATAAATTCCCAATTGAGTCGGTGATTTGATCTCTGTTGAAGTGGACAAAAATCTGCATTTTACACACATAACCCATAGTGAAAACTGAACGTGAACGTTGAATGAGAGAGAGAGCGCACGTAACCCAGTTTATTAATTTTCATTAATTTTCGACCATTCGACACATTTCAGAGTGAGAATGTGTGCTTAATGGGAAATGGTTGCTGCAATGCAATGATATTGTTGTAGATTTTGTGCGAATTATATTTTAAATTGGTCGCATGCGAAATTCATTTGTAATGGTGTGCATGTCGTGGATAGAGAGAAAGAGAGAGACAGAGCATATAGAAACAGGAATTTAATCATAATAAGCAGATTGATGAAGTGCAGCTGTATTCTGTTTTATTCGCAGCGATCGAAAAACTGATGATTCATCGTCAAATGACCTGGATGAAGAGGCTTCATTTACAGTTTTTTTTAATCTAGTATGTCAATTGTGGTTGTTGTTGGTTATTTTCAATTTTAATTGAACATTTGGTGCATTCGCTGATGCTTTTTTATAACTCGTTAATGGCTGTGTATGATGGTTTTTGTTGATTGCCCGTACAATAGTATTTCATTTCATGAGACACATTTAAAATGACATTATTTTGCCAGACGAAATAAAAACACATACTAATAAAAATCTTTGCAGACAAAAAGAATGTCAACGACAACGACAACAACAACGAATTTGACAAAAAGCTGATGTGAGTAAAATAGCATCCCTGAGGCCATATCATAGTATGCATCTGTACCAAATTGAAAGCTTTTATTTTTCATTGGAAGCATCGTTTTTTACGCGATGCGCCTTCCAACTCATGATGATTGTTTCCATGATAACGCAATATGCTCCATATCGATGTTAGCAGCACACTCTCTACTCCACTCGAATCCTCATATTATTCATTTAATATATGCATATGTCTTTATTGTCGCATTCTCTGTCTATATTTCGGCATCATAAAAGCATTGTTTTTATTGTCAAATGTGCGCATACCATTTCCGACTGTGAATATCATTTGAATGTGATATTGGCATATATTGTTCTTGTGAAAGTACAAACTAAATCAATATTCAATCTGACAAATATGTGAATTTGTCTTCTATATTTTCACTTCATATTGCGATACAATCTCTTATTCTCTGTGTCTCTTAGACTCTTTCCATCTTGTTCGCTTAATTTTTCCATTTGGTATGGCGTGTACACATTCAGACGTCTTCATTTTGGTGGAAAT